CAGTGCCGAGCGTTCTTTTGGTTGCTTGGCGGGTGGAAGTTGCCGGTGCATCGCTCGAAATCGGTGAAGTCCGGGAAGGGCCACGTGTAGTCTCGAAGCACAAGAGTTCTGAGGGATGTCGGATTTTTTCAACATTCTCGAGCATGCTCCTACCACAGTGGCCTGGAGAGGTTGGCCAGCGTCGCGTTGCCGCCTTCCGAAATCGTGCTCCTTTCTTGTCTCATGTCCGTGTTCCGGTGTCGTTCCAATCATGGGGGGTTGGTCTTGGGGGCATCGGCGGCGCTCTTGGCATGGTTCTTGGGTCGGTGCAACACCTCCAAACCTCGATATCTTAGATCTAAGCCCGACATGTCTACTGGGGGTGCTGCATTGCTCAAGTACCCAGACAGATGCATCAGTTTTCGCATGTATTGAATCACTAGACCCAAGAGTACCCTAGGAATAAAAAGGGTGCCCTTTTTGGTTTAAAGGGGCTTGTAAAGGAACCTGAACCCTTAAAAAGGGAATAAGGGCCTACTCTCGGCCCTAGATCAAGGGCCAAAAGATGGGGCTAAACCCTAAACCCGAAACCCTAAACCCGAAACCCTAAACCCTAAACCCGAAACCCGAAACCCTAAACCCGAAACCCTAAACCCTAAACCCGAAACCCGAAACCCTAAACCCCCAGTTTGGAGCTGCCCCCATTTGGGAGTTCCCGGGTGCTGTTGAGGTCCAGGGTTGAGGGCTCAGGGCTGCAGAGGGCCAGGGCTCGCAGTAATGTAGCTAGGAGGAATAGAATAGGGTTCCTTTAAAGGGTTCCTTTAATAGGGTTCCTTAAAAGGGGACTATATGCCTTATTAATTAGAATAGGGTTTTGGGGGATATTATACTATAACTATAATAAGGAACCCCCAAAACCCCATTCTAATTATTAAGGCCCCTACATTAGGGCATTGGAACGGGCTGTGAAAACATGCCAGTTTCCGCGGGTCTGGTCCGTCGGATGTGAGGCGAAGGATACTTGGAGGGGCAGGGGACTTAGTAAGTAGGTTATAAGTAGGGTTATAATTGGGGTAACTCCATTTAGGGTACTTATAACTCTACTTATAACCTACTTACTAAGTCCCCTGCCCTTCCAAGTAGTTCAGGGTGTTGGGACGGATGAGCCTGGGCCGTAGACCCTAAATTCGCAACCCTGCACCCGAAACCCTCCAAGACTCCCTTAAAATGACACTTTGGAGGGCTCGCAAAAACTACTTAGGCCCACCCGTAACAGACTTCCAGCTTGCCTTGTACAAGCCGTGTGTGGGCAAGACGTCGAAACACCAAAGCAACCTGGTTCCGGTTTAGGGTTTAGGGATGTCGATCGGTTAAACGGCAACATGTCGTACCGTTCTGCCTTAGGGTCCTTTAGGGCGTGGTTTCAGGATTACTTGTAAGGCTTTGTAGCTTTCAGGTCTCAGAGGCTGTAGGAAGCCCTTAAAACCACGCCCAATAGCAACGCGGAAGGCCAGAAGACTGATCGGCGATTGTTTACCGGGGGGAGGGGTCCGTTTGGAGGTCTCCGAAAGGATAGGAGTGTATGATGGCCTGAAGACAATGAGATCTGAGAACTGATAACAGGTCATGAGCCCTGGATGCTGTAACCCGGAGTGGGAGTTTCAGAAGATTAGGGGTATCTTATCTTATTTTGGGGTCCTTATAATAAGGATCCTACTATTGAGGGTACTACATTCGGGTCCCCTGTTTTCGGAAACTCCCAGAGTGGCTCCGTGGACGCCGCAGTTGCCAGCCAGGCAAGTAAGGCGTTTTTCCAGCCAGTCTGGAGCGAAAGGGACAAGTACTTCCTCGGCGGGTCTCACGCTTCTTTGGGTTCTAGTTGGGTTTTTAGGTACGGCCCCCATACAGTAAGAGTCTATAATAGGGCTACTATTAAAGTCCTACTATATCTGTATTATGAATATTATTCAACTATTACTGAGTGGGGGCCGTACCCAAGGTTTATGTAAGAGTTTAGGATTTGGGGTATCGGCTTTGCAGGCTGCGATATGTTTCAGGGCTTCCGGGGTTGGGGGTTTCAGGTTTCGGGCTTGAGGATCTGCAGGGCTTGGGTGCTTGCCCACAAAAAGGTCCTTTTACAGGACAGCATTCAAGGGCCCTGCTTTCTAGGTCCTCCGACGGGTCTGGGCAAAGTTTCAGCGGGCCCAAGCTCGTGAGACAGGCCCGACTCCGACGCAGTTGCATGCATGTAACATACCAAATTGGTACATGGTATCGCTCAGAGCCAGTTACCTGAACTCAAGAAGTCCGCAGCAGCTCCGTCAGGAGGTGTTGGCTTTGGGTTTAGAGTTGAGACGGTTTCAGAAGTGCCTGACAGAATGGATCCTCCTCTGGAAAAGGGGTCTACTTCCTGTGTTTCTGGTGTGCGGAACGATTCTCGCAAGCGGACTAGCTATAATACCCGCATCTCAATAAGCTATTTATGGATACGCGCATAGATAAAACGAGGAATATGCACACACCGTATCCCCAAACTAGAGGCCCGAGACCCCAATCATCCCAGGTGCCAGTGCCAATCCGTCTCCCAGGCGTGGGAGAGAAAGACATCAAAGTGCTCAGCTGGCCGCGAGGACGACCAAGCAGATGACCGATACTTCTTGGAACGCCAGTGGCGTCCACCATGCCTTAGTATGTTAAGAGAGTAGTATATCATACCATACTATACCCTACACCACTCTACTATACGATATTGGGAAAACTACCAAGGAATGATCTTACAAATCAAGTAGGATTGTGCCTTTGAAGCAACAGCGGTCGAAGCTTCAGGGCAGGCTTTGGGTCTTCGGGACTAAGAGTTGGGGCAATAGGGTGGTTTAGGGTTTAGGGGCTTTCTTGGAAGGGCAGCGGACTTAGAAAGTAGGTTATAAGTAGAGTTATAAGTACCCTAAATGGATTTACCCCAATTATAACCCTACTTATTACCTACTTACTAAGTCCCCTGCCCTTCCAAGTTGGTCCATGTTGAGATTTGAGTGCATTGAAAGGAACTGCGCAGGATTGCCCTTCGGTTGAACCGAAACACGAACGTCGAACATGTTGCCGTATAGGAGCAAGATTCTGCAAGGTCTCTGAGATCGATATGCCGCGCATAAGACTCGGATCAACAGCGAGCAAGCTGGGCTGAAAGCTGTGCGACTTGGTGACAGGGGTAGGAAAATTGCCACTTTGTATGTCGTCGTCCTCTGGATCAGTTTCGTCCAGCTGCACCGCAGCTACCACTTCCACCTCCATATCTTCAACAACTCCTTGGTTTTCTTAAGTGCCTGGACTTGTGTCAATTGGAGTTTGGGTCTAAGGTGGAAAATATGCTTTCCTTATATGGTAGCTCAAAGTCAGTTCCTGAAAAAGAACCCAGATTCGTGGAGCTGTCTGATTCGCACTGCTCTGGCAGCAACAAGAGCATTGGAAGACTTGCTTTCGCTGGGCAGGCGCCTTCTGCATGTATGGCAAGCGCCTAAACCTCGAACGAGCAACAAACTCTGTGTGGGGATTTCTTCAGCCAAAGGGAGCTTTCTGGGTGGATCCAACTTTGGAGATATTTACAACCCTAAACCCTAAACCCAACACTCTGTGTTTGGTCGTTTGTTTCCTGAAGCTACCATGCGTCTCAAAGAAGTCTCTGGTAAGATAAGACTAGACCTAAGAGTAACCTATGAATAAAAAGGGTGCCCTTTTTGAGTTAAAGGGGGCTTATAAGGGAATCTAAACCCTAAAAAGGGAATAAGGGCCTACTCTGGGTCCTAGAAGACCTATCGCGGAATCTTCAGCCTGAACCCTGAGCGCTTCATCTCTACAACCCCAAACCTCAAGGCGAAAACCATTAAACTCTGAAGCCATGAAGCACTAAAGCTATGCACACCCTTAGCACCAAAGCAGGAAACTTACCAGGCTAGTTTGAGAAAGGAATCGCGAACACCTACGTACAGTGTACCGCCAGCTTAGGGCTTAAGCTTAAACGATAAGGATTCAAGTTTCTGGAGGTGTTTTGCATGGGTTCGAGGCATTTCGATCACGTACCTGTCTCGTTTGGGAGAGAGAGAGAGAGAGAGAGAGAGAGAGAGAGAGAGAGAGAGAGACAAAGCTGTGAACCGAAGCTGCTCGCTTTCAGTACAGCCACGACGCCCATTACACTCAACATACTGTTGATACTCTGATTCGTTGCATCGTGTCTCGTATCATGCATTTAGCCCAGATGTCCCAGAAGATGAAGAAATTAAATCGAGCAAGGTTGACACTGTCAACAAGACACACAAAGCAACAAACAGAAACCAGTGAAACCGGGTAATGAGATTGCGAAGCCTCACGAAGCTGCTGATCATCAGAAACAGTCTCACCGCCGTCGCAAGTACTACATGCTGTGTTCTTCACGCGGTACCCTGTTCCCGACAACACAGCTGTTGTCATAAAGATCGACACCGGCAGTCTTGCTGTCTGTTCTCCTCTTCCTAGGATCTTTCTTTCTCTCTCTCTCTCTCTCTGTCTCTCTCTCTCTCTCTCTCTCTCTCTCTCTCTCTCTCTCTCTCTCTCTCTCTCTCTCTCTCTCTCTCCTCTCTCTCTCTCTCTCTCTCTCTCTCTCTCTCTCTCTCTCTCTCTCTCTCTCTCTCTCTCTCTCTCTCTCTCTCTCTCTCACTCACTCACTCACTCACTCACTCACACACTCTCTCTGTCTCTCTCTCTCTCTCTCTCTCCCTCTCTCTCTCTCTCTCTCTCTCTCCCCTCATCGCCGGCGTTGTTTCGCTCTTCCGCAGCTCTCCAATTGGTATGCTGCCTACAGAGTGGCATCTAAAGTGTTGGCCACATGGCATGCGCGCTGCAGATCTCACAAGTTCCCATAAGTAAATGGAACCCTCAAAAGCCGTTTAAATGCTTTCAGACTATCCGGCACGTTATTGGTCGGACTCGTCAGCTGTACAATTGAAACTGCCTTTGGTGCGTCTTCAGTACCGCCAAAAGCTGTCCACTCAGCAGCCACCAGTAGACACCCGTTGCAGCTTGGCAGGGCGGGTGTTGACATCCTGTCCGAGACTTCAATACGGTTTGATTTAGAGAAACTCTTCAAATCGACAATACTGCGCCATATATATATACACATGATAAGCCAACAAGTATGTATGTATATACATATATATATATATATATGTATATCTGTGTATATATATATGTACATATATACATATAAATATATATATATATATATATATATGTATATATATGTGTGTGTTGGAGTATCTGGATGAGCTGTCCATATCACGTGACCAATGACATGTGAAGCACCATCATGTTCTCTAATCCACTCCCGTTCAGTTAAGATCACCAGAACCCAAGACAGGTGCAAGCAAGTCGGGAAATCTGATCAGGGGTCTCGAGCTCAGTGCTTCGCGAGCTCGATTTGGGCTGAGAGGGCATGCACGGTGTAGGACTGAGGACAGGTTGTGGGGTCTTGTCTGGGTGTCCGCGACGGCTAGCTAGGGAATCCTATAGACTTAGATTCTCATCGCTTGAAAGGATGTCTCATCCGAAAAGCACAAGCTCTTGTTACATCAGCTGACTCACAAACACTAGGCCTTCCAGCGATAGACTCTCAAGAAGCCAACTCTGACTCATGCAGCCGCGCTGCATCCTTAAAAAAAAAAGGCCTGGCCTTTGCCAGCAATCTTAGGGTAGAGCTCTGTTCTGGGTTTAGTGTCGTTGCAGTTCAAAATCTCTGAACACCTAAACCCTGAACCCTAAACCCTAAACCCTTAAACCCTAAACCCTAGGGTTAAGGTTTCTTGTTCTGTCTTCACACCCTGCCTCGAGGCCCTTGAACTTCGCAACGTCCTCGGAGCCCTTCGTCGTGTTGCCTTCGGTGTAACCTTTGCTTCCGGAGGACACGTTCGGGCGGTGGAGGTACGAATTTGAAACGTATCGGGGTTTCCGAAAATTCGAGGTACCTTTTTTTGGGGTCCTTGTAATAAGCATCCTAACTCTCATACTTCGCAAGGATCCACAAGGCTCCTGCGACTTTTTCTTGTTGGACAGCCCTGGGTCGGGAGGGGAGGGATCTCTCCAAGGGTACAAGGAGGGACCCAGAATAAGGACCCCCCGTTATATACCCTCACGTAATATAATATGGCTAGTATATACCCATTATATAGCCCATTATGGGGTAGGGGTCCCTATTAAGGGTCCCTCCTTTTCCCCTTTGAGTCTCTTGATTGCATGAGGCTTGGAGGCGGTGCGGCTTGAAGCTCCTGCTTGGAAGGGCAGGGGACTTAGTAAGTAGGTTATAAGTAGAGTTACAAGTAGAGTTATAAGTACCCTAAATGGAGTTACCCCAATTATAACCCTACTTATAACCTCCTACTTATTAAGTCCCCTGCCCCTCCAAGTATCCCTTGCGCAAAGGAGAGCGGGTGGGGGGGGGGGGTGCGTCGACTATGCAAATATACTCTCAGAGCCAGAAAATGAAGCGTAGCAGTTCAAATCATCTTTAGACCCAAAGGGTCCAAGTACCATTATAGTAGGTACTTAGTACCCTAAAGTATATACTATATGGTTACTTGGACCCTTTGGGAGAGCGGCTTTTCAGAAACTACCTGCAAACTCTTTACCCCAAAGCCTAAACGATTCAGACCGTTACCCTCTGCCCCTTGAATCCAGAATTTGCCCTGAACTGTATGATTTAAACTTGGCTGACTTCTGAACCCCTCCTGAAAGTTAAACTTTTAGCCTCCTTATCATAGTTCATATAGAGACCCAAAAAGTTAAAGTCTAAAGAGCCAACCAAAAGAACGCCAAGTAAAGGTCTATTCCCTTAAGGGGTATGTAAGCCCTATACCGACCCCACGAAAATGAACATGAAGACCCTATCCCTAGGATTCAAGACATGGGTAGTCGTCAAAATTAGGGTCCCTTTTTGGGTACCCTAAATAGTAGGTACCGTATTAAATTAGAGACCCAACAAGGGACCATCATTTTGACAACCACTCACATATTCCTCCCTAAACCCTAAACCCTAAACCCTAAACTGATGGGGTCTTAGTCTTGGCACTTTGGGGATCTGCGCTTCCGGGACTCGAAGATGCCACTTGGAAGGGCTTTAGGGGACTTAGTAAGGGCTCTTAAAGGCTCCTTAAAGGGATCTATAGGGTTCCTTAAAGAGGTCTATGGGGTTTAGGGTTTAGGGTCTACTTGGAAGGGTAGGGGCTTTTGTAAGTAGGTTATAAGTAGAGTTATAAGTACCCTACATGGAGTTACCCCAAGTATAACCCTACTTATAACCTACTTACTAAGTCCCCTGCCCCTCCAAGCAGGGCTTTGGGGGTTTAGGCGGGTCCTCTGGAACCTTGAGACAGGGACCCTTTTTTGTAACTTCAAACGGTTTAGGGTTTAGGGCTTAGGGTAACTTTAAAAGAGCCCTAAACCCTAAACCAAAACACGTGACGCAAAATCCTAAAACCCTACGTCAGTGGCTCAAACTCTGCAGCACAGTACTCAAGACCCTACCCTACGCCTCCAGGGACCGCATTATGGGGTCCTTAAGGGGTCTAGGGCCCTAACTACGTTGTCCTTGGAGGGATAGGGCTGCACGCTCAACCCGAAAAGCCGACTGCAAGCACAGCATTCCATGCCCTGAAGGCCCCCCCAAAAAGGGTGCCCGTTCTAAACCCAAAGGGTCCAAGTAACCATATAGTATATACTTTAGGGTACTAAGTACCTACTATAATTGTACTTGGACCCTTTGGGAAACATGTTGTAGGAGTACGTAAAGCCCCAAGAGGGTAGAGGTTACCTAGTCAGCTACGAAGTAACTCCTATGTCAGGTGCTCTTGGTGCTCTTGCCCTTTTGAATAAGTTACAAAGCAACCTGGACGCAAAATCCTAAACCCTAAACCCTAACCCCTAAATCCTAAGCCCTTAGACTTACAAGAATACCGAAGCGTTGGACGGCCTGATTACTAAACGGCTGGTACAGTGCTTTAGAAATTCGCTCTTAGGTTCTAAGACGCTTAAAGTTTTGGATTTAGGTGTGAGCTTAGAGCTCTGGGCTTCGGGTTGAGGGCTTACGACAGTGTGTGGCGGGGCTTAAGATACGGATCCTGATTCGGGTACGGAGACAAGCCTGTGGTGAAGTGGTCACAAGAAGCCAGGGTCGCAACTGGATGTTCATGATGCTGAAGTAAATGTGCCAGCAGTACAGGAAGTTTGCCAGTCATGGTCATACTGATATGGTAGCGCTAGGCAATGGCACGAGTGGTGCCTACAGGCAGGAAAGCAAAATGGCGCAAGCCATCACTGCAACAGGCATAGCGACGCTGGGACTGTAAGCAGGGCAAGCCACTGTGCTTTCCCGTTCCTGCAAGCTGTCCCTTGTGCACGATCAGGTACTCGTCGCGGATTGGCCTCCTCGAGAAAAGCACAGCCGTGGTGATGACGATGACGAAGGAGCAGAAGAACGGAGAATGCTTACGATTAGAATGGTGATGATGGAATAGATGATGATGATGATGATGATGATGATTTGAAGTAGAAACTGATGAGGAAGATAGTAATGGTGGTGAAGATGACAACAATAATAATGGTGTGAGACCATGACGATCATGGTGACGATGTGATGACGCTCATGGTAGCGGTGATGGGCCATGGTGGGTGGGGCCACTGCTTCTGACAACAACTCAACATCAAGTAGGTCAAGACTACTCTGATAAGGCAAGTCAATTATCTTCCGCAGCTGCCAAATCCACCACGGGCTTTTGCAAATGTGCGACTCTTGGAGATTTCGATTTATGGGCTTGTGGTTTAGGATGCTGCTGACGTCATTGCTGTCATCGTGAACCGTCTGTTCCTTGCCATGTATATCTCGATTAATAGGACTCTCCTACCCTCGTAGCCATCACGGTGACTGCATGGTTTGCAAGATGACCCGCATCATTCTCCGTGGTGTTACGAGGGCTAATATAGGGGCCTTAACAATTAGAATAGGGGCTTGGGGCACATTAAACTATAACTAGAAAAAGGAACCCCTAAACTAGTATAGGTATTTATTTAGGAGCACATTATACGATACCTATAATAAGGAACCCCTAAACTAGTATAGGCTTTTATTTAGGCCCCTATAGTACTTGACGGCCATGGCCTACAGACTCGGGCTTTCCCCGTCGATTTGGTGGGAGTTGGGTTTCCGGAAATTACGGGTAACTCATTTGGGGGGGTTCCTTATAATAAGGATCCTACCTTTTTAGGGTACTATATTCGGGTCCCCTGTTTTCGGAAACTCCCAGTTCGGTTTTGGAGTCATACTTGGCATCCTGGTTCGCACGTGTGGATATTTTCGGGCCTGCGAGACTCGTTGGTATTCCTTAAGATGCTTCAAGATATCGAGTCTGCATGTATTCCGCCTTTTGAGCATTTCGGTCTAGGATTTCGGACTTAGGGCGTGCATTGGTGCGGTTGAAAGGATTTTAGGCTTGACTGCCGCCAGGCATCTCATCGAAGAAACATTCCTGCGGCTTTGCCATGAGAACGGGAGGGGTTGGGGTTTAGGGTGGCGGATTGGAAGCCGCAGAACATACTTCGACCAGGCTTTGATCTTGCATGACGCCTCAGGGTATATTCCGTACTCAAGGGGTGTTCGCCCTGAGGCGCCGATGCCCTGATCCCTGAATCACCCTCACTCCAAACACAAACCCTGAGCCAATATGGAGTCCCAAGCTGTGTCCACCGGATTTGACGCAGGGTTTTATCAGGGTTTCCTCTTGGTGTCGGGTTTATGGATATACAATCTGTTCTGGTATAGTGTAGTATATTAGAGGTGATTAGAAAAGATTCGAGTAGATTATAGTATATTTTAAAGTCTATCAAGGTATACAGTATGGACCGCAATGGTAGATCCGTAAAGGCCGATCCCAGCTATGGCAACTGGCCCGGCACTGAGCTCAAACCCAGGGTTTGGGGGCCATTATATAACGAATATACTAAGGAACTCCCAGTCTGTCTTTTTCTCCGTCGTCTCGTCGACATCGGCCTCTAACTTCTAGTGCGTAGCACGGATTCACTCAGGATGTGGGTTTGGGGGGCGAAAATTTGGCCTTGCCTCTGCATCGTCCAAAGGTGTTGCCTTCGGCTATAGGCGCCTGTAGGTGGCTTCATAATGCAATCTCTACTTGGAAGGGCAGGGGACTTAGTAAGTAGTTTATAAGTAGGGTTATAATTGGGGTAACTCCATTTAGGGTATTTATAACTCTACTTATAACCTACTTACTAAGTCCCCTGCCCTTCCAAGTAAACCCAAAACCTGAAAGCCTAATGGGTGCACTTCCTCGAACCACTTCCACATTGCAGCAGCTGCGACACCGGACAGGGTCGCATTCTGGAGTGCATACATCGCCGAGTACACCCTAAAAGAGCCCTGAACGAAACCCCCAGAGTCCCCTTGAAACAGGTGACATGGTTGTTAAGGGTAGCTTTAAATGGGGTTGTAAGCAGGCTATCCAGAAATATAAATCCATATAAGGGGACTTATAACCCCACTTATAACTACCACGAACCTCGAAGTAGCAGGATCTCCTGGTAGTCTGCTATTGACTGGCCCCGAAGATCACAACTTTAGACTCTGCGGCGACCGGTTACCCCCGATTATAGCTTACTGCTGATGGACAAAATCCTGCATGACCCATTATAAGGAATATACCATAGTGCCCAGAGTTTAGGGTCCTTAGGGTCATGCAGGATTTTGTCCATCAGCAGTACTTACTAAGTCCCTGAACCCTCAACCCTGATCCCTCGGCCTAAACTGAACAGTCGGGCCTCGGACCTTAACTCGAAATCCAGAAACCCCAGTTGGGTGGTTCTCAAAATTGTGGGTCCCTTTTGGGGTACCCTAAATAGTAGGTGCCGTACTATATAAGGGCCCACAAAGGGATCATAATTTTGACAACCACCCAGTTTGGTAGTGGTATACTCAGGCCCTAATATGTGGAACAAATTTGCGGGCTTTAAAGTATCAATAGTACACTGAAAGTCTGCTTCTATTCGGGACTGGAAGGGGGCTCTTCAACTACCATAGGAGCCTTAATAATTAGAATAGGGTTCTGTTCTGGAGCACACCATACTATTTATATTAAGCCCCCCAAAACAGCATTGGTAATGATAAGGCCCCTATAACCCAAAGGGTCCAAGTACCATTATAGTAGGTACTTAGTACCCTAAAGTATATACTATATGGTTACTTGGACCCTTTGGGGAAGGCCCCTATATTACTAGGCCGGCAGCCCGAAGTCTTGATCCCGGCAGGTCCAGGATTTCGCGTACACCGGCAGCGTAGCGCGCCTCTGCTCTGGCCAAGGGAGCCGGGATTTAGGGTTTCAAGCTCTCTGGTCCTTTTTAGAGGTTGTCCCCTACATGCCAAGGAGCTGAAAGTAAAAAACCAGGCAAGGCCTAATACCAGAAAGCATCGCTATATGTAGGAGGACGGGAGCCAGAATAGGCTGCACATACTCATGGTCTACTCCAACTCCAATAACATCGTAGATCAGATCGAATTGCAATATGAAGAAAGGGACAATGAGTAGCATGAGCTGTTTGCCGGGCTCAGCTCTCAGAGTAAAGCGCTTCCTTCAGTCGTGCTTCACGTACAAAACCTACAGCCATTTGAGATGGTTTAGGGGTTTATGAAGGCTGGCAAGGCTCTGCAGAGGTTAGCTTCGGGGAGCATGCAAAGCTGAGAGCGGGCTTGAGATTGCTTTTGAACTTAGCCCTTCGCCCTCAACTCCGGATATCAGAAGGGCATTTTAGAATTATCAATGCTGTTCCTTGAGGTTCCTTCGCATAGATAAAATACACAACCTACCTATAGTCTCCATTGTAGTTCCTTTTTTTGGTTTAACCAATTATATATTAAGAATCCTATAAGGTAACCCCCAAAAGGAACTACAATGGAGACTACAGGTACTACGAAAACTTACTCATCTGATGAAGGCCCCTGCTCTCTGGGAGATGAAAGGATACTGCAGGGACTCCAAAGAGATGCAAACCTCAAATAAATGTAGCTACTTGTTAGCATACCATAGGGTCTTCTCAGCTTGCACTACATTGTGGTATATTGTAGTATAAACGAATTGAATATGGTAATATTATACGCCCAGAAGCCCTAGTCACAAATTCCCAGTATTCACTCCCTGCATCCCAGAACCGCTTTCAGCCCGCATAGACAAAGCCCCACCACCGCTCGAAGCTCAACGCCAAAAACAACACCTTTTCGACGCCGCAAACCTGAAACTCAGACCCGAAAGCCCCAGCCCCTATTGTAGGAACCTGGAGGGCCAGGGTTTCTTAATCTGGTTCCTACATTACACCATCCAACCCGAAACCGAAACGCAAGAGCCGAGGTCGCCTGGGCGGAGAGTGTCGTTCCGGAGACGTGGGGTGTCATTGCATTGGCCTGCACACATCTGTCTGGTGCAAAGTAGGGATTGGGGGAAAGGATTATGGAGACTATTATTGGGGATTATATAGGGACTGCTACAGGGATCCATTTCCCCATTCCCTACTAAGCACCAGGCACACGTTGGGCTTATTGTCCAGGTCCTTACGCGGTGTCAGGGGCATTGTAGGCTCCAAGATATTCCGTTCACCCTTCGGAATATGCTAGACCAAAATGAAGGGATCTCCCAGGAGAAATGTCAGCAGTCATAGTTGAGTCATAGTCGTATACATATATATATATATATATATATATATATATATATATGTAAATATATATATATATATATATGTAAATATATATATATATATATATATATATATATATATATATATATACATTATATATACATACATACATGTATGTAAATGTGTATATATATATATATACATATATATATAAATATACATAAACATATATATATATATATATGTATGCATCCATCCTATGCTGGTCTGGGCTTTGCCGGGCTCAAGTTGCACTGTGTAGCTTTTGTTTTGCGGGCTTTGCGACGACACCTCGAGTCCTGAGATGCAGGGATTAGAGCTACGAACTTGCAATTAGGGGCTTGGGGGTTTAGGAGCTTAAGGTTTTAGGGGTTTGTAGGCTTCAAGGGATTTAAGGGTTTTGGGATTTCAAGCAGGCTGGTGTCGAATTGCAGTCACCTCAGGACCTGCATGGAATCAGCGAACGGCTGTCGTTCCGAAAACTCCCAGCTGCTGGTGGTGGTGCTGCTAGTGTCGTGGCCGTGATCGACGTCGTTGTCTTCGTCGTCGCTGCTCCGGGAGACAGTGTGCATGGAGGGTTGAGCATGTTGATCTTTGGCCCTCGCCATATATGATAAATTCAGGAGTTGGGTGGATGTTCCTTCACTTTGGAATAAAGAAAGTCAAACTTCACGAAGCATGGCCTAAAGCCCCAAAAACCTCGACCCCGACCGCCTTCATCCCGCGCCATGGGTGGTCCGCCGGCGCCGGCTGTGGGAACCAAACGTCGCCAGCGTAGCCGGCCAAGTGGCCTTCCTGCTTAACAAACTTATGTAAGCAATGGGCTTAGAAACCATGCAAACTTATGTAAGCAATGGGCTCAGAAACGATGCAAACCGCATACATCCGGTCAGGGGTTGCTTCTTTGTGCTCGGACACCTCCTCCGATTGATCCTAGACCTAGAGCTCCTGATGGTGAGTGTGTCTGTAGTTGCTAAGGCCTCAAGGCTAAGCCCTGCCTTGGGAGGTTCATGGGACTTACCCCCCACATTTTCGGTCAAGCTGGTCTAGCTCAAATTAAGCACGCTACTTCGAGCCCTTGTAAGAAACCACATATCAAGTCCTGGTTTGGGTTTCGGACTTCCCACGCTCGAGGGGTTCGGGATTGCCGCTAAAACAGTTTACAACTTCGGATCTAGAAGTGCGGGGCTCTCACCACAAGCAGTGAGAACTTTGTCTGAGTACACAGTCGAGACTTACGGTTTAAGGCACCCCCAAAGCTTCTCGTGGTGAACCCCCAATACATCCCAATATGTCCCAAGGAGATCCGGTAACGCCTGATTCTAAAAGCCGTCTCCCCCTCCCGAAGCCAAGGACCGTCGTGTCCTCGCATGCCTTCTTGACTGCCTCTGCATCGCAGATCTTTCCACGAGCTGTATTGATCAGATATGCCCCGCGCTTCATCGAGTAGATCATCTCTTCGTTGAAAAGGTTCCTCAGGTTTGAGGATTTAGGGCCTCGCAGCAGCTGTTCGAAGCTGCAGCAACTGTGTGTGCTGTTGTACTGGGATGGAGTATTGATGCTTTTCAGGTGGATCCACATCAAGGCTCAAGTTTCCTCTGTCTCGGTGTTCCGAAAAAAGGCTTGCGAGAGGCCCAATTCTGAGCCACAAACCCAAAGTCATGCCAAAGAGATTGACCTTCATGCTTCTGACTTCTCCAAAGAATCCGATGCCACCCGTCTCATGCTTGGCCCTTAGCCCCAAGCTCGAAGGAATTCAGCTCCCATACAAAAGCCTTTAGAAACAAACTTTAGAATGACATCCTGATAAATCCCTAAGTGTGGAGCTCAGGAATCCTGGAAGCAGGTATTCTTTGATTTTTGCGGATCTTATGGACTATCACGCAGTGTCAGCTCCCATGACGGATTGAAGAGGCATCCGAGACAGCTGATTCGGGCTGGTTTGGGTTTAGGGTTTAGGGCACAACAAGCCCGCTGTAGCAAAAGAGTACGCTGAAACTTGCAGAGGAGTGTATGCTGAAACTTGCGTTGAATAGCTTTCTGATCTGAAAGGCTGTCAGTTTCTTCAGTCACAGGTACGGTTTCGGGTTCCTAAAGTAAGGTGTGCCGTCTCTATGTTCTCCCCAGTCCTGCACAGATCCAACAAGGACATCAAAGCGTACGCGGAACACCCCAAGGACGATTGAGGAGTGCGGCTGCCTGTAGGTTGATGGTGTAACTATTCCATGGATCAGACCTCAGGATGTACCTGCGTTCTGATGCGAGGGCAGAAAACGTGTTGAGCTCAAGAATCCCGAAACCCTGAACACGCTAAGTCCTAAAACCAAATTGACCCGTGAGCAAAAATGCCGGTGCGTGTTAAGGGATTTTAGTCCGAGCTGCTCTGTCTCCGGATGAAGAGGGCAATTGATAGTGACCACGTCGCAAGCCTGCTCACAGTGAGGAGTCCCGATTGCTAAACCCAAGTCCTAAATAGTGTACATGACAGTATAATTATAGTATGTGATAGAATAGTCTACTATGTTAGATTACATTACATTATACTAGTGTTCAACAGTGCATAGGCACAATTCCATATGAGCTGCTCCACATAAGGCGACGCGCCGTGCCCTGAAACTTTGAAGCCTGACTCGCAGTTTCCCCACGCTTGAGTAAACACGCATTATTTGTCTTGCTTTGGTACACGTCACGGACGGTAGTTCATATCTCTGCGTCTGTTGCGATTGTCGCAGTCTCTTGAAAACCTTGCAAATCACACGAAACTTGCTAGCTGCACCTTACATGCTTCCTACTCTGATTGACACTGAGATGGCTAGAGCCTTTGCTAGTCTGGCCATCACGACTTGAGCTGATATACCTGTAAAGCATATGAACTATGTTCGAAAGCGCTGTTTTACTGATTCGCATCATAAAGGAAAAGAAACACTATGATGATGGTGATGATGATTACCGCAATGCTGTTCCTGCTAATAAGCACTAGATGTTCAATTTTGAACATAGGTGTCGATTTCAACAGGCCCCAAAATAGCCTATAGGTAGGTTCTACAGTTCTCGACTAAACCGCAATGAAAATGAGCGGTCGTCCCAAACCAGTACCTAGTGAATAAGCCGCAAGCCTTGACCAGTGACTGCACAGAGTCATGGTAGATCAAGTTCAGCTCCTGCTCGACCTTGCACGTCTGGTTCTGAAAGCGCTCAGGGTCTAGGGGCCTTGGAGGCTTTAGAAGAACTAGGCTTCTACTTGTAGGGCCTAGGGTTTCCATACGGATCTGAGTCAAACTGACGCTGCTCGACGCAACTGTTTGGAGGCGTCGGGTGAAGGATGGATGTCTTTGATTTAGGAGTACTACGTACCGTGTCGTCCTTTGCGCACAGGTGGCGGATAGTTTAGGGTTCCGAGGCTTACGTTTGTTAGTAGGGAATGGAAGAATGGTTGTAATAGTAGTTATAAGTGTACCCCATTCTTCCATTCCCTACTAACCAAAGGCAAGTTATAGGATTATTACGGCCCCTATATTATAGTACCCTTATAGATCCCTTATAGCAACCCTTATAGACCCCTTTATAAGGCCCCTACTTGGAAGGGCAGGGGACTTAGTAAGTAGGTTATAAGTAGGGTTATAAGTACCCTACATGGAGTTTCCCCAATTATAACCCTACTTATAACCTACTTACTAAGTCCCCTGCCCCTCCAAGTAGACCCTAAACCCTAAACCCCATAGACCCCTTGTAAGGAACCCTATAGATCCCTTTAAGGAGCCGTTTAAGAGCCCTTACTAGGTCCCCTGCCCTTCCAAGTAGGGGCGGACAGTTTAGGGTTCCGAGGTTGCAGCTTCAGCCCAAGAGTGTCAGACGAGGGACCTGCACAAGAACTCCTGAGGCCTAAGCCGTGGCTGACAGCCTCCCAGCTTTCCGGTGGAATAGATACTAGATATTACCTACTTTTTTGTATCTTATATCGTATATATTATCTATTTACCTCTTAAACTTAATCCTGACGCTGCTTGTCCGGATTTAGGATTGAGGGGGGCAGTGTCTATCCACAACTGCACGGGCGCGACCTCAACTCCTCGAATTTCTACCTTTTACCTGTTGTGAAGAGCTCAAAGAGTTTTGGTGTGTGCTACTTCGACCCCTGCTAGTCAGACAAAGATGTTGGGGATTTGCAGCCATCTGCACCTTCCAGTCCTTTCCTTGCGAAATGTTTCGCAGGTGGTGGGCGCTACATTCTGAATTACTCCAAATACTGCATTCCGGACTTCATCCTAATCCTACTTGGGTCCCAGAGGACTTATCATCATTCAGGGTGCCTGCAACTACCTCGAAGATGTCGGAAAGCCTGAGGCATAGTAAAATCTTTATGGAGGTTACTCCCTACATGAGGTAAACACATGGGAGGACTTCGCGAGCATCCAATGCAGCTGCAAAGGGCACTTTCGGGCAGCCGATGCTTGTCGTAGTAGTGGAGGACTGTTTCGAAAGCCTTGAGCCTTTTTTGCAGGATTTAGGGCTTCGGTTTTAGGGTTTAAGGTTTAGGATTTAGGGCTTCGGTAGTATTGTCGAGTTGGGGCATAGATGGCTTGGGGCTGAAGGTTGAGAGCATGCGGCTTAACTAGTCTTGAAGTGTGGTGAAAGAAGCCGCCACGAAAAGGTCTGGCTTTACGGCATGACAATGTCAATAGGGTTTTATGACAATGGAAGTTTATGACAAGTCGGTGTACCTTGTTCCAACGTCCTTCTACTGCAGGATATTCAAAAAAACCCATATGGTTCCTGCACTGCTGTACCAGCTTCGCCAGAAGCCCCTCAATAACAACGTTCACTATTGAAAGCCAATTTTCTGCTAGTCGGTGTTAACAAGGATACCTCAAAGCAAAAAGTGCAGAAGGGTACTACTAGGAGACCTAGTGCAACACCCAGTGTTCGCAGCCCACGCGCGTTGGTTTAGCCCCAGCAATACCCCCAAACAAAGTAGACCCCGTAACTTGGAACTTATACTGCAAAAGGATACTTTAATCTGAACCCGGGGATCTACGTTTTAGACCTTCCCAAGCATATGGTCTATACACAAACCAACGCAACATGCGTAATTGTTTAAGAAATCTTGGATTCATGCTGAAAGCCCTGTGAGAGGGGATTTCATAGTCCGGCTCCTCCATCACGCACCAAACTGAAGCCAACATTACCAAAACCTAAAACAGACAACTTTCTTGGAAACCCATCACAAGCCTCACACCTAAAAGACCAGGCTGAAAACCTGAATTCCTAAACGCTTCATCCCGCAGCCCTAAATCCCGAAACACCACCAACACCAATCTGCCTCTACAGCGCCTCAAGCCTCAAACACTCGTTCTAGAACCCTTAAAAGAAGCCTTACAGACCCCCTCAAGGTATAGGACCCTGAAAGGAAACCTTGAAGGAACTCCGCCCTCGCCTTCGCAGCACCGCCAAGCCAATCCTTCCAGCAGCCACAGTGCCGACGTGCATGCCTGGGCTGTGGAAATCATCCTACTTTCGGGGCTTGCATGATTGCAATAGGATTCCTCTGTAGGGACCCTTCTAGGACCCATAGGAACCCAAAATGCTTACCGGTTGCTTGAAGGGTTCCTTTACGGATACGAAGAGGCTTGCCACTCGGGTGCTTCTTGATTAGCGTAGGATGTGGGGGTGTACTAGGGTATAGCTATCATAAGGAACCTAAAAAACCAGATCCCGGCTACTACATGAATATAGAGGCCTCAATCATTCAAATGGGGTTCTAGGGCCCATTATGCTATACTTACAAAAAGGACCCCCCCAGAGTATCTCTAGCAAAACATACCCACAGTGCCCACCTCAAGAGTATGTTTTCTTATCAAGAAATCCGCATGCTGCTCTCTTCTCCTTGCCTTCCTCTACTCATCCCTGCAATGCCTACCCAGTATGCTGCCCTACCTTTCACCTCATTCCAGTAGACTACCCCACCAATGGCGCTCTGCTAGGGTTGGGATGTTCGAAACTCATTTTCAGGATATTGGGCTGTCGACGAGCAATAAACCTAACGCCCGAAATCCGAGAAGCAGAAACAAGCACAAAACAAGAACCAGCCTTCCACGTCGTAGGCTTTGGCGACGCAGTCCGCGATGTGCCAGCCTCTTAGATAGTATGTAGGACATTAGATACAAAGTACAGATTGTACTACATACTATACTTAGCATGATATATAGTATATTGTATTTTCGAGAGCAGATTACAAAAATACGTAGGGTGTTAGGGTTTAGGGTATAGTTCGGCCTAATTACTTGGAAGGGCAGGGGACTTAGTAAGTTGGTTATAAGTAGGATTATAATTTGCGTAACTCCATTTAGGGTACCTATAACTCTACTTACAACTTACTTACTAAGTCCCCTGCCCGTCCAAGTATACTACATATTTTACAAAAAAAATTAATGGATTGCGCTCCTCCCTGCGCGAGCCTCCAGCCTCGGCGATGTCGTGCGAAGGCACAAAGTTGCGGACGAGGTTCAGGATGAGCATCACCTTGGGAATTATAGGGCGTTTAGGCGTTTAGGGGTTTAGGGGTTTAGGATTTAGGGGTTTAGGGTTTAGGGGTTTAAGGGTTTAGGGTTTAGGGGTTTAGGGTTTAGGGGTTTAGAGTTTAGGGTTTAGGGGTTTAGGGTTTAGGGGTTTAGGGGTCTAGGGGTTCAGGGTTTTAGGGGTTTAGGGTTTAGGGGTTTAGGGTTTAGAGCATCACCTTGGTAGCCCATATAGTACCCCTATGTACCCTTACAGCAGTCCCTTGGTTTCGCTACAATCGAAGGCTTACACAGCTTTACTCAAATTGTGCTATACGGTTACTACTACATAGGATGGGCATCACCTTGGTGGCTGTGTTAGGGTTTAGAGCTTGTTGATGGTTTTTCGATTGTGGAGGGTCGAGGTCTCTTTTTGAGGCCCCACGTCTGGGATTTAGGGCTTTGGCTTCGGGGTGGCAGGCTCTATAGACATACTGTGACATACCTTGTGGATCTGGGTTTATGGGGGTCTGAAAAATACTTGAGCTTTTGAATATACACTGTTTCCGCATGGTCTCCGAAATGAAGGCTTTGCCTTTAGGTTTCCAGTACCCATATCGTACGCTTGTAGAAACCCTGTAGAAACCCTAGTAGATCCCTTACGCAACCCTGAAAAAAGGGACCCTAACTTAAAGAACTCCCTGATGCCTCAAGCTTGCGCTCCCGACCCGAAGATGCTCCTCCTGGGTTCTTTCCAAAAATTAGGGGGTACCTTATTTTGGGGGTCCTTAGAATAACGGTCCTCCTATTTCGGGTACTAGACAAAGGTCCCATATTATCGGAAACTCCATCATGGACATGCCTCCCAGAGTTTACAGAGGTAGTGGTCTGAAGCTTGGGGGTTCTGAGACTCGCCTTGTGGATCCACCACTAGGGGTTATTAGACCCTACAGATCCCTATTAGGACCCTATTAAGGGTAGATTAAGGTACCCATAAGGTCTAATAGCCCATAGTGGTAGTGCACACCCCAAAACCCCCAAACTGGCTCCAGACTGAGACAAGAGGCCACATGCTCTGCGACGGAGATGGAATTGCAGAACGTTACCTGTCAGTCAAGGAACCTTTTCTAGACCCAAGAGTAACCTAGGAACAAAAAGGGTGCCCTTTTTGGTTTAAAGGGGCTTATAAGGGGACCTGAACCCTAAAAAAGGGAATAAGGGCCTACTCTGGGTCCTAGTTTTGCTTCATTAAAGGGCATTGGGGCTCCGGGTAATGAGATTCCGTAACAATGAACCTTAACTCCCGCAAGCCCCGAGCCCCAATGCCTGAGACCTCGGATACAGACCGAAAAAGAGCTTCCTGAAACCTTTTCAAAGCAAGCAATCAACCTTGATCATGTGGTTACTTACAGCACTTACGAAACGCCCAGGGTATATGGATATGTATGCGCATACATATATCTCTACACACATACATATACACCATACACAAACGTACGGTACAATACTTCGGCCTCTGCCACGGTGACGCCATGATTGCAAGCTGCCTGCAGGTCAACGTGGTCTGAGCCAATACCTCGGAAGCTTTTCTGGAAGCCTCCAAGCGATGATGTAAATGACGTATTCGAATCGGAAACTTACTTCGTCATTACCTATGGAGGAAAAATTTCAAAGCTTTCAAGAAGACAACCTCATAAGATCCCCGAAACTTGAAAAGCCGGCTTTTGGGCAGAGCCCCCAAGCATAATCGGCCCGTACAATAGAAGCACTATTCTGATAAAGTTGGGCGCAGTTAGGCTTCACGTCTAGTAGAAGCTGGCTTTGTGAGGGATGCTCCCGCGTTTGCTTGCGGCTTTATTGATTTAAGGTTTTAGGGTCCTACCGTCGTTAGTCGCCACTGCCTACTATAACTTAACCCTATCACTCCAAGGACCTCATAGTTAGGGCCCTAGACCCCTTAAGGACCCCATAATAAGGTTCCCGGAGGCATAGGGTTAATGACAGTGCTTACGATCGGCGCTGGTACTTCTTGTGCTATACAGCGACTCCTGATGGGTTGATTACAGGGTACTATCGGGGTCACACAAGGAATTGGGTTCCTTTAAAAGGATTTCCTCGGGTTCCTTTCAAGGGGCTCTGTATAGGGGCCTTACTAACCAGAATAGGGTTTTGTGCCCCATTCTACAAATAATTTAGGCCCCTATGTTATTGAAGATAGAATGGGGAGGGCTTGGGCGGCCTCGTCTCTTCTTTCAGGCTTGTCGGGCTTTCTGTGGGGGTTCAGAGTTTCAGGTATCGGGGCTTTTGATGTAGCGTCTGATTCTGAAGTTTTCTCTACTCGGAGGGGCAGGGGACTTAGGAAGTAGGTTACAAGTACGGTTATAATTGGGGTAACTCCATTTAGGGTACTTATAATAACCTACCTGCTAAGTCCCCTGCCCCTCCAAGTAGACCCTAAACCCTAAACCCCATAGACCCCTTTCAGGAACCCTATAGATCCCTTGAAGGATCCCTTTAAGAGCCCTTACTAAGTCCCCTGCCCTTCCAAGAACGGCCTGCATCACCAGAGACAAACTCGGAGCTGGGAAGTTCACAGAGACTCCAATATCACTTACTTAAGGAATATTCCTTAAATCATATTCGGGATCCTACTATAATTTAAGGAATATTCCTTAAATCAGATTAGGGATCCTACTATAATTTAAGGAATATTCCTTAAATCATATTAGGGATCCTACTATAACTTGAGGAATATTCCTTAAGTCATATTAGGGATCCTACTATAACTTAAGGAATATTCCTTAAATCATATTAGGGATCCTACTATAATTTAAGGAATATTCCTTAAATCATATTAGGGATCCTACTATAACTTAAGGAATATTCCTTAAATCATATTAGGGATCCTACTATAATTTAAGGAGTATTCCTTAAATCATATTAGGGATCCTACTATAACTTAAGGAATATTCCTTAAATCATATTAGGGATCCTACTATAAATTAAGGAATATTCCTTAAATCATATTAGGGATCCTACTATAATTTAAGGAATATTCCTTGATTAAGGGATATTGGAGTCTCTGAGTTTGCTTCAATCTGAAACGATGCACCTCAAACCCTGAAACCCCAAAAGCCACGCCCAAGCTCTGCACCCTAAACCCCAACTTTCGACCCTCAAACTCGAATCCTACCCGAAACAAGAGAATCTTGGCCTTTGAAAAACGGTGAACAATCCCAAGTCCCAAGCCACTACTTTCTGAACCCCTGACAACCCTGAAGCTTGGACAAGGTGCCGGCGGTGATGCAGAGCTTCAAGTTCTTGGCCTTGAAGAGCTCTTTACGAGAGGCATACTGTAACTGTGCTATCATACATGGTTATATTGTCTTGACATGATCTTGTATTCTCTTCTATTCTAGTCCAGTTGTTTAGAATTGGGATCAGACGCCTTTCTAACATGGAGTTTGAATGGATGCTATATCCTACTTGAAGGAATGGGGGCTTAGTAGTGTATCAAAGCTATACTGAACTTAAAACCCCAGCAAAAATAGAAATTTAGCTGTCTATTAGGGATTATACTAACCAAAAAATAACAAAGTCTAAGTGCCCCTAAGAAAGTAGGGTTGGACTCTGCCTAAAGCGTTTTAAGGCCAAGCCCGGGTCCTTGATGTCCGAGACTGAATGAGTTTATGGAAACCTTACTTGGAGGGTCGGGGGACGTAGTAACACAAGGGGTTCCTTAAGGGCCCCTTTAAAAGGATCTATAGGGATTCTATAAGGGTTTAGGGTTTAGGGGGACTTAGTAACTGGTTATTTTAGGGACTTATAAGTACCAAAACCCCAATGAGGGTCCCTTTTAGGGTACTTATAAGTCCACTTACTACCTACTTACCAAGTCCCCCGACCCTCCAACTAGGGTTCCGAGCTTTACTGGGCTTTTAAGTAACCAGGGAGAAAAAAGTATAAACTTTTATTTCATAAGGGTTCCTTTAAGAAAACAAGTATTAAAGCATGGTACTCCAAAGCCCAGTTTAGGTGTAGGGGCAGCAGTATACCAAGTAAGCCTAACACTGCCAAAACCTCCCCATAGTCCAAGTCCCAAGACCTGAAGCCCTAAGTCAACTAGTTCAACCCACATCCGCGATCCTAAAATCCCAGCGCCCTGAACCGTAAATCCAACCCATCCGCCCCAAAATCGCCTGGAGGCTTCGGACTTTAGCGTAACTAGGTCTAGGCCCACGATCAACAAACCACTCTGTCATTAGTCATATTAACTGTTGATGATATAAATCTTGCATGACCTTAAGGACCCGAAACTATGGAAATTATGGTATATTCCTTATTATGGGTCATGCAGGATTTATATCATCAATCGTAGAACTACTATTCGGGCCCTCATGTTGAGTTCCCGTGCGCCCTAAATTCTGCACTGCTACACCCTAGACAGACCCTGAAAGCCCCTAAGCCCCTAAGCCAACACCCAAAGCGCACATGCGAAAGAAGATAAGCTGCTTGTTTCTTTCTTGGAGGTGGTTTAGGGTTTTGAATCAACAGACGAAACAGACGAAGTTGTTTGATCTGGAGCTTAGGACTTTCTACTACACACGTTCATTTTCATTTGTTCTTTCACTTTTTTGTGCGGGGAGGCAGGGGTAGATTCCGGCTAAATGCCCCTGAATTCAGGACTACACCTTAACATACAAGGAGTTCAAGGTTTTGATGTTTCCTTGTGGGGGTCTTTACATCGGGGTATTAGCCATTAGCGCTAGTATTCCATGGCAGTCATTACATAACTATCGTAGAGCATACTCCCCGAACCGAGTTCTAATTCATCAGGCTGTTGTATTACTTAAACCCCTACAGCGCCCTTCTAAAATCCTTTAAACGGAACACTTTGCTAAAACAACTGGAAGATTAATGATTGAGGGGCAGGGTTCCGACTCTAGCACCAAGGTGCCGTGGCTGAGTAAGAAGAAGTGGCAGGAATACCGGACTTGGTTCTGAGACTTTCTCAGCCAAGTACCGGAGCCTGGCCTAACCAGAGTAGCCTTTCGTGGTATATATGCACTACTATACGTTCAGGGTTCTGCGCTGTCGGATTGAGGCAGCAGCCTTCTCAAAGCGCTCGGCGCTCATGTACGCAGGCCAGAAGGGCTGTGAGATTACCTCAGGGTCATAAGCTTGGGTCTCGACTCCACTGTTTGCATGCTATAGGGCCCTGAATAGTTGGAAATCATATTACATCGGGTTCCCCAGCAAGGGTCCGGGAAGTCACACGCTGACTCCATGTATAAGGTTTCGTGTTGAACTTGGTGTACTTCCCGATTTGTGCGTGTCATCCTCGCGTAGGGCCATGCTAGTCTACTCTGTACCGTTCCAACATAAGGTTGGAGGAGGTGGTTCACAATCTAGGCTTTGAGGTCTAGGGTGGGGCAGGCTGAAAAGGTTCAGCTTATGGGCTTGGGCTTTGGGATGTAGCGGTCCAGCGATTTGCTACTACTAAAACCCAGATGACTCCACCCTACAAAGCCCTTACAGACCTTGATGTACCCGTAAAACAGCCTTCAAAAACGCGAGCAAATCGTACAGCACCTTTATGCAACCCGACAGACCTACACAATACCCATATAAAGCCCACCGTCTTTGAGACTCGGTCCTTCGATGCTGCTTGTCATCGGAGGTGGATATTGCTCTTCACCAGGTACTTGTGACTTACGACTACTTTTGGGGCTTAAGGTCTAGGGACGACGACGGTGATTGACCCCAAATCTCCTTCAGCCGCAATAGCTACAAAATCACAACCTTGTGTTGTTGCCAGTATGGCTACTACAATGCAATCAGTCCAATGCAGGGGCCAGAATAATCAGAATAGGGTTTGGGTCGTATAATAGCCCATACTATACAACAATTAACCCGAAGGAATAACATTGGTAATCCGCCGAGGCCACAGGCCCAGGCGTCTTGGGGGTTACCTCAGGTACCCTCCACCTAATCCTCCCCCCTGCAGTCACCCCCCCCCCCTCCCCCCCCCACCTGCCTCCTGGCTTGGCCCTTGCTTCAATCCGCTGCTTTTCCCTCTTTCCAGGTTCCTTCCGTCGCCGTCCGCGGCCGCATGACCAGCAAAAGAGCAGCAAGGCCGGAAGATGGCACTCGCACAATCGACGCTCACCCGTTTCGAGGTTGGGGTTGAGAGGCCCGCCTAGCATGCTGTATACAACATCCACTACCGCCTCGCCCTGCCGTTACAGAGCCGAGGCGGGCGGCGTAGCGTTAACATTATTCATTTCGGCTGCTGCATTACAAGGACTTCGAAGCTTTAAAGAGCCAGGCTGCCACATCGGCATCAGGAAGCTCTCTTTCGAAGACAGAGTCTGGGCCATCTTTGGACGACGTGACAACGAACCTTTGGAGCAGCAGCGCAGGCTTCTGGCACTCTGGGCTCAGGGTTCGTTTTGTTGGCAACAAAGTGTAACTTGATTCGCGTGACAGAATGGGGCGCGGTGCTTCCGGTTTATCTATAACTCTGCAACCATCCGGGGGAACCTTGGAAAGGGCCTGCGAGTTCGGGTCCTCGTGTCACCAGTCAGGCCTCGCATCGCGGTCGGGAGATGGCGTAAAGATATTGTCCTAGCATTGCCTGCAAAACATCGGCAGTCCTAAACTTCAAAGCCAGCAGAGATAAACCTGAACCTGGAACCCCTGATGCACAATCCCCAAAGCCCCAGTTCAAACCTACATGCAATTGACAAGCGTTATATATGATGCCGTTGAAGGGAACTTGAAACCATCCCAAAACTCAAACCCCCAGTAGCCTAATCCCTAAACCCAACAAAACCTTAAACCGCCAAGACGGCACCTCGCTAACGTTAACATAGGGGCCTGAATCAGAATAAAAAAAACACCAGAATAGTATAGGTAAATATGTAGGCCCCTATATTGGAATTAAAGCTTCCTTGGCTGAGGGACTCGTGGCCGGCTGCTGCCAGGAAGGGAGTGAGACCCAGTGCTCCTGAAACCTGAGCTTATCTGAGCTTCTTTGGTTCCGACAATAAAACGGACCCTAGGAATCAGAGGGTTCTTTTGTAAAGGGTTCTATAGGGCTCCTTTACAGGACTCTGTAAGAGTGTAGGAGATTAGAATAGCTGAAACAACAGGAGGGCCTGAGTAGTTGAAATAGAGTTTCTTTGAAGGGTTCCTGAGGGCGCTATACTTGGAAGGGCAGGGGACTTAGTAAGTAGGTTATAAGTAGAGTTATAAGTACCCTAAATGGAGTTACCCCAATTATAACCCTACTTATAACCTACTTACTAAGTCCCCTGCCCTTCCAAGCAGGGGCCTGAACACTTCGGCAAGGGTGTAGTTGTCATGAGGATCAGAACTACTGGTACTGATTCAGGCTTTGTTCCAGTTGCTTTAAGGGGTTCTGAGTCTTGCCGGGGCTTTGGCTTTGAAGGTTTAAGGTTCTTCTCACGTGTCCTCGAAGGGTTCCTGCACATACATATGTATATATATATATACACATACATATTTATGACATATTACATATATACATATATATATACATATATATATATATATATACGGTATGTATATATATATATATATATACATATATATATATATATATATATATGTATATATACACATATACACATATGTATATACACATAACTTATCATAACCATATAAACCATATCATGTGTAATGCAATATAATAGAGTATTGTATAGGTTTTATGGAGATTCTGGGGTTGAGGGCCTCAGAGTGATGTGGGGTTTCGGGGCCTAGGGCTTGAAACTTCGGGTCCGAGCCTCCAGCTCCCCTTTTTATTGGGAGGATCTAGAAAGTAGATCCCTTAATGGGGGTTCCTTTAAGGGTCCCTTTAAGGGATCTGTAGGGTTTTAGGATTTAGGGTTTAAGCGAGGGATCCAGAAAGTAGATCCCTTTATGGGGGTTCCTATAAGGGTTCCTTTAAGGGTCCCTTTGGGATCCATGGGGTTTAGTGTTTAGGGTTTAGGGGGGTTCCCATAAGGGTTCCTTTAAGGGTCCCTTTAAGGGATCTATAGGGTTTTAGGATTTAGGGTTTAGAGCTTAGGGGAGGGATCTAGAAAGTAGATCCCTTTATGGGGGTTCCTAGAAAGCACCCTAAGTAGTATAGGGCCCCAAATTGGGGGAAACAAAAAGCCTTGAACAGTAGCGGGCTATTTTCTTCTGAACGGGTTTGCGAGGTTCTAACGCGCGGGCGTTTCATAAGGTCTTATGGGGCATATGTGGCCGTATCAAGAGCGAGACATGTGCTGTATGGGCAGTATTGTTGCTGGTACTCTTACTTGGAAAAACAAAGTCACCAGGTTTAGCTTCACTTGAACTTACCTTTGGTTAGTAGGGAATGGAGGAATGGGGTACAATTATAACTATTCATATTACCTTTGGTTAGTAGGGAATGGAGGAATGGGGTACAACTATAACTATTCATACTACCATTCTTCCATCCCCTACTAACCAAAGGTAAGTGAACCGCGGACGACAACTTGGGAGCCCTGATCACCACCTTCCCAGAGACTCCAATATCCCTTAATTAAGGAATATTCCTTAAAGCACATTAGGGATCCTACTATAATTTAAGGAATATTCCTTAAGTAAGGGATATTGGGGTCTCTGGTTTCGGCCGGATGAATGCAAGCAGGAGGCTGATCCCAGAAGCTGTCCGGGTGCGAAGTCTACACCAGAGGGCGTCGGGGTGCTCTGGCCCCCTGGGCTCTGCATGGGCGCGGAACGAGAATGCTGACATTCCCAGATCTTGAAAGTAGATGCCCTAATTTGGGGCCCTATACTACTAAGGGTACTTTACAGCGACTCCCATTACGGGATCTACTTTTTGGATCCTTCCGGGGTCTGGGTTCAGAGTATACGAAACAATGATGATGAGCATGCACCTGCGTACTGGCAACAGAAATACTGAGCGATCTGCTAGGAAACATTCGATCCGAGAATGTGTGATGACACAGGAATCCTGGCGGCCCTGACATTTCACATCCTCATTGGGTCTAGGGTGCAGGGCTGCACTCAAACTTGCTGTGATGAGCCGTGAGAAGCTACCTCGGCTCGCTGGTCCTCATGGTCCCTTATTGCCACAGTGCACGAAAACCGGTGTCGTTGTTGCTACCGCTGGCATCATACCTCATACTTGTATCATTATTGTAGTTGGTACTGCCCTTGCCTTTGCCATCGCTCTAGCACTGTTGATTGATTGACTGTCGTGGATCCCAAGAACGAAGCTTGCAATGCTCCGTCTAGCAAACCCGAAGCTGCAGAAGTGTGTCATGCAGAGTGGAAGGCCTGGGGTATATGCTGAATCAAAGTAAGAAGGCCGGGTTGTTACTTAAAGCTAGGGGCCCAGGGTTAAGGCTTTTCAAGATCCCGGGAATGCAAGCTCATTTTTCGGGGGAGCATGCAAAACGTAGATCCCCTAACTCGGGACCCTAAAGGATACTTCAATAGGAATCCCTGTAGGGGAGGGGTCTGGCTGCTCCCAGAGCAGAAACAAAGATCCGTACCCAGTTCACTGAATAGGATTTGTTATCGTTCAGGCCCCTATACTATGTAGAGACAGAGACCTGAGTTGTAATGCACATGGAACAGTGCAGCTAAGACCACCTGGATACGACTTGATCACCGGGATGTCGTCGCGAGAGTAGGTGCTCGGATAGCCTAATGTGGCGAATCCAGTTTAGGGGTTTAGGGTTTAGGTATTCTTCAGAAGCTTGGTGGCATCGATACGTCGCTTCGAAAACCAGACATGCTGAGCTGAAGCAAACCGCTGCTTAGGGGTTGACTCTAGAACGCCAAATAGCCTCAAGCCTTCGCAATAAAGACTGAGCTTAAATTACTTGCCAATGTTCTGTTCTATCTGCATTGAAAATACGTTTCTCTTCTAATGGCATTCACTTTCCTCAAAAGTGCATCTGTACACACACACACACACACACACACACACACGCAATACCTGCAGGTACGTGTGCCTGGACGTCTGCGTGTAATCACGTCTGCTTGTGAGCATGGGAGTACCTGATGCTGTGCATATGCAAGCAAGTTACTGTATGAATGTACGAGTGAATTTATGTAGCTATATGTTGTATGCATGCGTGCATTGTTGTCTGCATCTGTTTGTCTGTGCAACCATGTTCGAGAGGGCAGGTTCATGCATCTATGAGCCTATCAATACATGGCGAATTACACAACTGTTTGGATGTATGCATGGATGTAGACATGTATGTAGCTGTGGGTACAGAATGTAGCTCGCATCCATATACCTGCCACTGCAAGATCATGGATAAATACACTGCACCTTTGTGTTTGCAGATACTTACATGAGTTTCCACCTGCCAAGCTACGTAGCTGCTTCTCTCTCTCTCTCTCTCTCTCCCGTCCCTCCCTTCATAGTATGTCGTAGGCATAAACAAACGTAGGCACACACACACACAAAGACCGAACAAGAAAGTACGTACATAGATGAGCATACACTCATACACATACATACACACAGAGATATATGTACAGGAACAGCGCAGCACATAAAGGCATGCAGCATGCATATATGAAGTTTTGCTGACCTGCTGACTGACATTGTTGTCTACCTTGGAAGCAAAATCGCCCATGTAGCCTCCGGCAGGATCTTCGTAGAGCACGCACAGAACCTGCAGACAGCTTGTGGGTAGTCTCAGCGATTGATCTACACTGAAAACCATAATGCTAAGCAGCTTGTAAGTTCAGGTATATTCCTACATTACTATAAGACTATAATACTATTTGAATGGGGATGTCGCCCAAACCCCAAACCCTGTTATCTCTGACCATGGCCAAGGCGGTTTTCTGCGTCGCCATGCAACCTCACATATCCGGCTGGCATGGCGAAAAACCATTCAATGAAGCTCCAATCGGCGATAGGTATATATATATATATATATATATGTGTGTGTGTATCCGTATATACATATCCACATAACCATGCTGAGCGCTGTAGCATATAACAGGGTGCCACCGTACACAATTGCACGTCCAGGTCCTAGTCTGCAGCAACATGCAGAACAGTATATCTCACCACACACGTCATCTTATCCTCTTCACATGTCGCATTGCCTCCGTATTCCCTGATGCGATGCACGAACTTATGCTTCTAGCCGTAGTCCTTTTTACTACTTTTGGGCTGCTGCATTTGTAATCAGAACATCATCGGAGTGTATTGACATTCTCACTTCGTGCTTTGGGCCGATGATTGTTGATGGTAATGATAATAATGTTAGGATTTAGGGTTGAGGGTTTACCGTTACTAGTACTGCCGCTCTTACGACTTGGGGTTTCTAGGGTCTAAGTAGGGCTTCAGGGTTTGATTTGTCTCCTGGGGTTGCAAGAAGGCTAGGGCAGCGAAGTCTGCAGGTGCTCCAGTATACCCATAATTCTGTTGGAATCACTAGAAGCCCCAAATACTGCGGCCTCGGAAATAAGAAAAAAAATCGGGGCATATTCTACTATAACTGCATTAAGGAACCATCAAACTAGTATTGGCCCCAATACGTATTAACCCATTATCGATAAGGCCTCCCGGCCTTCACCATGATGCTTAAGCCTTCTTGTGAGGCTGAGGATGGAGGCTGGTGGAAGCTGAGAGTTGCGGAACTCCTACTGGCCAAACGGCTGCGAGGGGTACTATAGTTACTATGTCCAGCAGGGGTCCTATAGGGTCTTGTTCGGGTTGAAAGGCTTTAAGTTTAAGGATCGTAGGGTTCTTTCCTGTTTTAGGATCGTAGGATTCAGGGCTTGGGGTCTTGGGGATGTATAGGGCTTACTGGGTTCTTGTTAAGGAACTTAATTTAAGTTACCATAATAAGGAAACCCTATTATTTACGATAGATCCCTATTATGGTAACTTAAATTAAGTTCCTTCACAAGAACCCAGCTTAGGGCTATAGGACTTGAAGGCTTCGAGAGTTCAAACGAAAGGGCAAAACTTCTCCCCCCAATCTCACGTAGGGGTTCGCATTAGGGGAACCTTGGGGATATAGACGCTCTCAAAACATCCCTTTGAAGAGAGCCATAAGTAGGGTTAAGAAGGGTCCCCTTTAAGGGGTCTCCTTAATACTATCTAGGATCATGTCAGTGCTTCCACATTTTCGACTCACAGCTCCATGCCGCTGCACCAAATGTCTCGAACAGTCGATACTTGGAGGATCATGGGGCTTTGTAAGTAAGGTTATAAGTACCTTAATTGGGCTTATAAGTAGTTATAAGTACAGTTACCCTAATTATAACCCTAGTTACTAAGTCCCATGATCATTTAAGTAGGGCTGGCACCAGGCATTGTGCCAATTACGCGAAACACATTCCGGCGGTCGAAAACTGGCCGCGCATCCCTTCAGGACTGCATTGAAAAAGCACAAACGGCTCGCAGCTCAGATGGGCCCAAGATGATGAGGCTTGAAACGGCAAGTGTTCCATGTTGTCACGGCTATTGATCTGGATCACCACCACCACGATCACCACCATCGCAACCGCCAGCCCCACCGACACCGTCACCGTCGTCGTCCTCTGCATCTTCACCAGCATCACAATCAACACCATGATCATCATCATCACCATGCAGTGTCTTACGCTGCTACCAATTAGCAACAAGATTGTTGTTGTCACGATTTTGATCATCAGCATTGCCACCACCATCATCACCCGCATGGTGATGGCGATGATTATGCCCGTTATCGTATCAGGCAACGGTGAATACGATGATGGTGTGGTGAAAGAGATGAATGGAGAACGGGCTGTTAGGACACGACGTCTGAGCTGCTTTGGACATCCCCGAGTCTCAAAAGAGAAGAAGCACAAGGGCGCAAGCAACATCGGTACTAGAAAGAGTCACGATTAAGGCTTGGGGTTTAGGGTCAGAAAAAAGCAGAAAAAACTGACGAGACCACTGATCGCGAAACTCTCCCTCCAACGATAAGGACGAACTAACGGTGGTAGGATCTGGAAAAAACACCGGATTTGGCAACCGATCCTACTAAAGGATAGGAACCACCTAAGGGATCTACCTTTGGGATCCTCCCCCAGGCGTCTGGGCCACTCAGAATACGTGCTACCCATGAATAGAGGGCCTTAGTAATTTGAACAGGGTTCCTTTTAAGGGTCTCTCTTTGAAACTTAAGGTATGCAGCCTTATCTAATTTAAGGTCATCTTCTCTAGTTAACAAGCGTTGGGCCCCCGGGTTCTCTTTTCTAGGGGTTTTATAGACTAGGGAACCCTAAAAAAGCATCACAAAGCTTTCCCAGGCCTGATATGGGGGCCTGAATAGCTAGAATAGGGTGGTTAGGGTACAGTCAACAGTAACCATAGTATGGAACCTGAAAGAACAATACAGGCAATTATGTAGGCCGTCAAACTTTTTATCGGACGCGAAATAATTTCGCGAAACAGCATGGGCAGCGCACTTGGACCCTCGAGCTGAACCGGCGCCCAGTGCTCCAGTTGTCACGCTTCCGCGTATTCGACTCGCACATCGGGGATGTGCCGAAGCTTACTATGGTACTCCTCGAGTTCTGTATCACGGACCTCGTAGCGATCCTTTAAATCACAGATGAGCTCAAATCGCTTGAGCTCATGTAGTTTTGACGCGCTCTCAATGATGGCGGAGCGACCGCGCTCCGAGATGCGCAGGGTACGGCAGGAGAGCCGATGATCATAATTCCCACTGAGATCCAGTCTCCTGGATTGTCGAGTCTTTAGCTTTGGAGAGGGAGAGGCTGCTCGTTTTGAAGTTTGGTGTGCAGCCAGCCGTTTCAAGGCACGGAAGAGCTGCTTGTTCAAGGCATTAGTTAAGCTCAACCCATCTGACATGAACCCTAAAAGGACAACTAATGCTGAACGCTAAGGAAGAAGGCCAAACTCGAAAACAGTCCCAGCGTCAGTTGGCTGACCTGAAGGCAACAAAGCGACTCGGCAAGAGCATGGCAACTTGCATCGTCCATTCGCGTCTGGCGCAAGTTGATTTCGAGCTCTGTCACCTTAGGGTTCAGGGTCTGGACCTGCAGAAACCCTAAACCCTAAACCCTAAACCCTAAATTTTGTGGCATTCTGATGTGAATCCCTCCCCTGCTTTCATCACCAGGTAATTTGAAGGGAAGACCCGCTGCATGGCAAACGACGTCGCCTCCACCAGATGCCTTAGCCCCTTCAGGAAAGGCTTGGCAGGGTCTGTCTCTTCATACATCTCAGCCAGGTCGAGGACAACTGTGCGGATGTAGGCGCCTCTGTTAAAGCTTGCAGGCTCCGCCACGGTTTGTGGGGTATACGGATCTATGATTTTGTGAAGCTGCCCATACTTGTGTGCATCAACACACATGGGAGTTTCCGAAAAAATAGGGGTACCCTTATTTTGGGGTCCTTGTAATAAGGATCCCTCTATTTAGGGTGCTTTGTTGGGGTCCCCTGATTTCGGAAACTCCCACATGAAAAACAACATCATCGCAGCTCGGAGCGCTACGGGTTAAATTCCTTTATAACAGGGCCTGAAGAATTGGTAATAAATACCATTTCCGAGCGTTCCCCACTGATGTAATGCAGTTTACATATTCGGACCCCCTCTGTGAACCCGTAAGAGACAGAAGATTCCAACTTCTAACCCCGAAGCGTGTGAACAGCCCTAAAGCTATACCACACCCCAAAACCAACGGCTCAAACCCTAAAGCTCTAAACCCCTAACTCCCGAAAGTCCTAAACCCCTAAAGCCCCTAAAAAAAGGCCTTAATGATTACCCATGCTATTTTGGGTGGTTCCTTATTGGTATGACTATGGTATGATGCCCCCCAAAAGCCTATTCTAATCATTAAGGCCCCTATATTAAACCGTAGCAACCCCAGAGACTCCAATATCCCTTAATTAAGGAATATATTCCTTAAATCATATTAGGGATCCTACCATAATTTTAAGGCATATTCCTTAATTAAGGAATATTCTTAAATCATATTAGGGATCCTACCATAGTTTAAGGTATATTCCTTAGTTAAGGGATTTTGGAGTCTCTGGGAACCCTAAACCCGTAAACCCCTAAACCCCTAAACCCTAAACCCCTAAACCCCTAAACCCCTAAACCCCTAAACCCCTAAACCCTAAACCCCTAAACCCCTAAACCCCTAAACCCCTAAACCCCTAAACCCCTAAACCCCTAAACCCCTAAACCCTAAACCCTAAATAAGCGGGAAGGCGGGGAGCTCTCGCCCAGTCCCTGGAGTAAGGCGCTCAAGCACTGACTTGGCAAAGCTGAGATGTCGCTGATCTGCCGCTTTCCTTCAAAGGTTTGCCTGAATTCTGATTTGCGGCGTTGTAGGGCTGTAGGCGTTTGCGGCTTTAGGGTGTAGGGCTTTCGGGTTTTGGGGGGAACGGGATATCTCTACAAGAGCATAAGCGATTCTTGGTCAAATAGAATCCACAACCCAAATTGCCACCCGGTCGCATGGTGAGTCGCAGCTTTCTATAGTCTGGGCCCAAGCGCCGCAAGCGCGCGATGACTGCAGCAATACCATGGTCAAACAGAAAAAGCGGAGAGGAAGTATGCACTGTCAGAAGGACTTCGCTGTCGGCTTTTGCTGCAGGGAGCCCTTTCTCACTCTGGTCCCGGTCGATCAAGAGCACAGGCCTCATGCACTTTTCAATGCACGTGGTACCTGAGGCGATCCTTGGCGCCTTCAGGGCTGCAGGTTGTAGGCGACGAAGAGTCAGCGGAGCGTCTGGAAAGAGCTCCAGCTCTGGCTTCGTCACTTGAAGCTCTTGAAGCTTCACCCACTCTGTGATGAAGCTCACCTCCTTTGACTTCTTGGCTGCTCTCTGTGCAGTGCTACGAAGCTCTTCGCTGAAGCTCTCCCAAAGCTTGCCATACACCAGTTGCAGCCTGCAAAGCGCTTCTGCATAGCGATCCCGGTTCCCGAAACCTTCTGGGCATAAGCCTCCCGAGGCAGCGAGGGCTTCCTGCAAGAGCCAGCTACGCACCCGCCAGGCGATGGAGTTGTGAAGCTGTGTGGCGGCCAGTAGCCGGAGGCCGGGGATCACAAGGTTCATGGCTAACGGAAACGGCTTCGTCACGCCCAGAGCCAGCAACTCCAGCAGCGCTTGCGGAGCATCCTCCAGCAGCATAGCCTTCTGCCTAGAAGGCTCCGTCTCCACATAAGCCACTTGACACGCCCGTTCTGAGAGGCTTGGCTGGGGAGCATCTACTTCGCGCGGCTTCAGAAAAAGAAGGGTCAGGTAGCTCCGATCCAGTCTTTCTCTGCCCGATGCTCCTGGCCAAAGCCAGTAGAAGTGCAGCATCCAGACGTAGGCGAGGCCCATGTATCCTTTTAGGATAATCAAAGCAAATTCGGACTCGGAAATTCAAACCTCAAAACCCCAACAAAGTTCATCTGGACCCCGCTCGGCATCCATGATACCGAGTTCCATGTTTTGCCTCAAGCTCCTGTCCTAAGTAGCGGACCCAGTGAATTTCCGACTGCATCACCATGTTCGCAAGCATTGCATCTTTCACAACGTCGAAGCCATCGCCCATGAAGGGAAAGAGGGTTCGAGACGACAGCGCAACATCCATGGCACTGTAGCTGCAAGTGCTGTTGAACCTCATGACCAGTGCCTGTAAGAAAAATAGAAGCAGCTGAGACGTCCAGAGAAGGTCCCAGGCCTCCCAAGACATGCCAGCGGCACTCAGCTGTCCTCCCCGGCTAGCCGAGATCGTCAACTTCGAGCACAAGATCAGCCAGCAGAGCAGAAGCACGGAGAGGAGGAGATTTCGAGACTCATCGGAGAGGGCCCAGAAGAAGAGAACTTCTTGTAGCCCCTTCCCGGTCTTGGCGCCAGCAGTGGCCCTTCTGGGTTCTTGTTAAGGAATTCAACTTAAATTTAAAAAGGCCAATGAAGCCATATTATAAAGTATAGATCCCTATTATGGTAACTTAAACTAAACTCCATAGCCAATATTCTACAGTATAGATCACCATTATAGTATTTTAAGTTTAGCTTAAACTCCTTATAAAGTATTATAGATCCCTATTATAGTAATTTTAAATTAACCTCCTTAACAAGAGCCCTAAACCCTAAACCCTACTTAGAGGATCATGGAACTTAGTAAGTAGGTTATAATTGGGGTTATAAGTGCCCTAAGTGGGGTTATCCTAATTATAACCTACTTATAACCTTACTTACTAAGTCCCATGAGCCTTCAAGCAAACCCTAAACTCCTTAATAAGAGCCCAGCCTTTCATAGGCCTCCTCCAGGCTAAGCGTCGATGCTTTAAAGGCGCCGCTCTTCGGCTTGTACAGGTCCTAAGGCTCCATGTACCCATATAGTAGTTTGGGTTTAGGGTTTAGGGTTTAGGGTTTAGGGTTTAAGGCCTAAGTACCTACTATTTGGGTACATGGAGCCTTTGGGTGGTAGGGCCAACCAATGCGCAGGAGGGCGGCAGAAACCGCGAGCACCACGAAGTACTTCCTGGGCTCTTAAAGGGCTCCTTAAAGGGATCTATAGGGTTCCTTACAAGGGGTCTATGGGGTTTAGGGTTCAGGGTCTACTTGGAGGGGCTTTAGGGGACTTAGTAAGTAGGTTATAAGTAGGGTTATAATTGGGGTAACTCCATTTAGGGTAATTACTTATAACTCTACTTATAACGAACCCAGAGACTCCAATATCCCTTAATGAAGGAATATTCCTTAAATCATAATAGGGATCCCATTTTAAATTTGCAGGCAGGGACTGATACTGTTGATGATATAAATCCTGCATTACCTTAAGGACCCTAAACTATGGGAATTATGGTATATTCCTTATTATGGGTAATGCAGGATTTATATCATCAACAGTAGGACCCTAAGGCCCCAAAGTAGTTCCTTTTTGGGGTTCATATTGTTGTTAGGAAGCATCATCTAAGTTACCGCGAGAAGGGGAGAAAGCTGCATACCCTGGTCTGATAACTTGAAGTAAACCTTTCAAGAAGAGCGCAGGTTCAGAAGCATCAGGGAGATCCAGTACTTGGCTCTAGGCACCCAAAGGTGCGACGGAATCTCTGCCATGCTCGGCCAAACTGGCTGTGGCAGCTCAAGCCAGCGTATGCCATGGGACTTCAGATGCAGAAAGGGCTGTGTGATGTTCACCTGAGTTTGTCGGGGAACACTATCGAAATCAGGCTGCCACCTTTCTCTCCAACTCTTATCTGGAAACCCTTCAGCAAAAACTGCGAACTCTTCTTACCTTTGGTTAGTAGGGAATGGAGGAATGGGGTACACTTATAACTACTATTACTACCATTCTTCCATTCCCTACTAACCAAAGGTAAGACTTGGGGACCTAGTCACTTCGATGTAAGCTGCTGGGCTTACATCTGGCACTGTCCATCGGATGCTGTCCTCTCACTGGCCCAAAACCGAAAGAAATAAAAGTTGAAACTTTCAGAATTGACTTCCGTATAAGAGGCCCAAAAGTTGAAAAGCTGAGTTTAGGGTCAAGAAGTCCTCGAGGTTGGAGCTAAGAGCGACTGGCAGCAGGGCCAGCAATAGCAGTAGCAGCATTCGCACCTGAGCTCTGTTGAGGGACCTACGGGCCTTAAAAATTAGACTAGGGCTCCTGTAAAAGGGGCCTATAAGGGCTACTGCAAGGGATCCATAAGGGTCCTATAATTAGCAGTGTTCGCACCTGAGCTCTGTTTAGGGACCTCGAGACCTGCTACACACGAAGATATAAGGACGAATCAGGCCGCCGAAGTATGTTAACCTTAAGGTAAAAGCCAGAAAGTTGGAATATGATAATCCTAAACCCTTTATGGTAAACTATAGGGTATCCTACCTTGAAACCATATTCCAACTTTCTGGAGTTCCCTTTATGACCTCTTGAAGCTACGAGCCTTCTGGGCTAAAAAGAACCGAGGTGCGAGATCGTCCGGGCGCAGAGTGCATGACTTCGTTGCCAGGACCGCCATAAAGCCACAAAGGAGCGGCAAGCAGAAGACGGCCGGCCAGGTTCTGCAAACCCAACTGGGCCAAGGTGGGCATGCCCATTCAGTCCTAGGTTCTTGTGTCTACGGCTTAAGGTTAGGCTGCCACAATACGGAGAGCATGTTACATGCTACATCTCCGTAGTCTTGAATTCCTGAAGCCTACAGTTCTGGAATGGACCGCCTTTATAGAACCCTCCTACTAGTTACTAGTACCCCTGTAATCCCACGAGAATCCAGAACAACCCCAAGAACCAGAGAAACATGATGGTGGGAAGCAAAGAAGAATTTAGATTCCCCAAACCCTAATTGGAGAAAACCCTCATAGACACCCAAAACGAACTCTGAACCCCAAAATCTAGAACCCTTGTAAAAAAAGAAAAACCCAGACCAACCCAAAACCCGTGCAGAAACCCTAGAAGCACCTCGATCAACCCTAAACCCCAAACCCTTGTAGAAGCAGGATCAACCCTAAACCCCAAACAGAAAACCCCTAAACCCCACGCCCTGAAAGAAGCCCGACCACCTCATTATAGATGTACTGTATATCCCCCTTACAGAACCCTATATAAGGATCCCTATGATAGAACCCTCTAACTATACTCTAATACTAACTTTAGTGCCCTTGTTTAAAGAAGTGTGTATATTTATAACCCTTATAGACCCCTTGAAGGATCCCTATTATTATGGAACCCTAGTACTAACTGTAGTGCCCTTTAAAGAAGAACCGGAGAGTCCCCCCATGAGGCGACGTGAAGAGGGCCGAGGCCGATAAGGCCAAGGCCACCAAACTGCCCAGAGTCACCCAAGTCTCCTCGTTTAGGGTTTAGGGCCTTTTGGGGTTGAGGGCCTTTTTTTCTGGCCTTTTGTGGCTTTTTGAAGTTTTTAGGGTTTCGGGCTTAAGGGTTTAAGGCTTTTAGGGTTTAGGGGTCAATGGCTTTTAGGGCCTTTTGGGGTTGAAGACCTTTTTCCTGGCCTTTTGCTTGGAGGGGCAGGGGACTTAGTAAGTAGGTTATATGTAGGGTTATAATTGGGGTACCTCCATTTAGGGTACTTATAAGTCTACTTATAACCTACTTACTAAGTCCCCTGCCCTTCCAAGTGGGGCTTTTTGAGGTTTTTAGGGTTTCGGGCTTAAGGGTTTAAAGCTTTATAGGGTTTAGGGGTCAAGGGCTCTTAGGGCCTTTTTGGGATTTTAGGGTTTAGGGCCTTTTAGTGTTTACAGGTATAGGGCCTTTTAGGGCCTTTTGGGTTTTTAGGGTTTACTTGGAAGGGCAGGGGACTTAGTAAGTAGGTTATAAGTAGAGTTATAAGTGCCCTACATGGAGTTACCCCAATTATAACCCTACTTATAACCTACTTACTAAGTCCCCTGCCCCTCCAAGTAGGGCCTTTTAAGGTTCAGGGTTTAAGGCCTCACGGCTTTTGTGAGGGTCCCAAGTCTGCTCGGGCAGGCTTTCTCCTTCTGTCCTTGTTTTATGCTTTCTTGAGTGACGTTTCGCTCAGCTAGTATAGGGGTCCCAAGTCTCCTCGGGCTGTTTTTCTTCGTTTGCCATTGTTTTATGGTCTCTTTTCAGACTGCGTACAGCTTTACTTCCTTACCCTAAACACCAAACGTTTAACGTGGTTCAGGGTTGAGGGTTGAGCCTGAAGGCTGCGACTTTTCGATCAATGTGGTTTCGCACTGCTGCTAAAAAGAGTTTGTGTGCTTTTAAGGGCTGAACTATGGGCGCTTGGTGTTTGGGGTTTACCCAGCGAAACAACCAAAGAGATACCTCTACTCGAAAAGGCCTCTGTGCTGGTTGGCGCTTTCCTTGAAAGGTTCAGGGTTTCGGGGCTTAGGGGAAACGACTACGAGAGCCATCATTTCTGAATGCACTGAGGCAAGCTGCCGAGGTCTCGCCCGAGAAACTGAAGCCTGGTTTTTCAGTGTCCCATGAATAGTGGCGGTACCCGTATTCCTACTGTTCGGTTTTTATACGGAGACCTCCCTAAACCCAAAACCCCTAAGCCCCTAAACCCTAAACCGCCAAAACCCCTAAACCCTAAACCCTCCTCCAAAAAAAAAAGGTGAAAAAGGGTACTACTGGAAGGCCTAGAAGCTAAACGCCGACACCAAGAAGCTGAGGAGAAGGAAGAGCTGGTGAGAGCCGGTTGCGCAGAGCACTGGTAGACTGAAAGACCATGCCAAAAGCAAGCCGACATTCTGAAGCCATGTCCTTCAGGCTTTAGGCTTTAGGCTTTGTGTCCTTCAGGCTTTTGGGGCGTTGGGCTTTTGGCTTTGAACTTTTGGGTTTATGCTTTAGGCTTTTGTGGCGCAGGGGTTTTAGGCTTTGGGGGTTTAATTAAGGCTTTCAGGCTTTGGGGGGTATGGGAATCCTCACTGGTCCAAAACCCAAGGAAATAAAAGTTGAAACTTTCAGAATCAACTACCTTATAAGAACCCCAAGAGTTGAAAAGTTGAGTTTACAGCCAATAAGAATCTTAGGAAGTTTACCAAGGCCAGGTCCTCCAGTCGGCTTTCTCCACGGCTCTTGCATCCGCAGGGAATCCCAAGACCCAGCAGGCGATCCCGGGAAAGGCGAAGGTGACCGGAGCCCAGCCCAGCGGAAGGTACGCCAGCAGAGCCAGCAGCCAGGATATGGCAAGGCCACAGTAGCCGAAACTCCGGGCAAGCCCTGGTGCCTCGCAGCTCTAGGAGGAGTGTCTGAAAGGGAACTCCAGAAAGTTGGAATATGGTTTCAGAGTAGGATACCCTATAATTTACCATAAAGGGTTTAGGATTATCATATTCCAACTTTTTTGCTTTTACTTTACACCAAAATAACCACCAACACCATCGTAATCATCACCTTCCTCTTCATCAGCATCATCGTCTTCATGCTGATCCTAAACCTCGTCCCGATCGCAGATGTGGTAGTAGAAGGAGGAACAGCAAACAGCACAGCAGCGGCAGTAGCAGAGACAGAGTTTTGGAGCAGGAGTACAGGACTACTGAGGTTCAGCAAGCAGATCAATAGCCGCAATCACAGAAGACAAAAACATGAGAGTAGTATGAATATCCCGGTCTCCAGAAGCCTTCTCTCGCGCAACGGCCCAGAGGTAGATAGCAATGGCACTGACCAACGCGCCGAGCATTTGAAGGCCCAGTGCCCACCAGGTCATCCGATCAAGGCTGGGAAGCGTGGCGAGCCATATCCAAACCAACACAGGCTTTACGAGTACTGCGAAATTCTGCACTTTGTGTACCTGAAATAGGGTTTTGAGGCCCAGTATACTAAAACTATACTCAGGAATCCTAGGAATAGTATTGGTAATTATTTAGGCCCCTCTGCGTACCTGAAATGTCATCCAGAGCCCCAGCAGGATGGCGGGGATTCCTTCTGGAAGATGCTCCAATTTGCGGCTGCAAAGCCAGAAAAACCACAGGGCAAGAGTACTGCCGAAGATCAAAGGCAGCGCCCTCTCAGAGACCTGGGTTTCTTGTTGAGGAACTTCAGACTCACCGTAAGCTACCATGCTCGGATATAGAATATAGAGTACATAAGACTTGCGCTCTTTATGGAAGCTGAATACTGAATTCCCAAGCGAGACTAGGCACTGGCTCCGAATGAAGCGGCACCTCCAGGGGCACAGCTGTAGCCACGGAGCCAGGCAGAATTGTGTTCACCGAGCCAGGCAGAACTGTGTTGGCAGAACTGGGAGGCAGAATCGTGAGCACGGAGTCTGCGGGCGCCGTAGTGTCTTGGCCTGCCCCCCCGAGCTGGCCAGTTCAGAGAGCCTAGTTCCTCTCCGAAAACTACAGACCACATGGATGAAGAATACCTCCTAAGCCATAACTACCTACTACGACTATTTATGTATCACTATTATTACCTTTGCAATTACCATTACGATATTCCTACTCCTATTGCTACGACTACCAATTCTATCACTATTACGAGTGCTACTACTATGCTGCTACTACTACTCGCACTACCACCACTACTACCATTACCATTGATATTACTGGTACTATTACTACAGCCGTGTTTGTTACTACTCTCATACATGCTTATGAATGAATACCAGTACAAATAACCATACATACGTGGATGCATACCTACACACATGCCCCAGGAGTTTGAAGCTCTGGACCCGGCTAAGTATGCGTTCTTGGTCTTCAAACCCTAAGGCCCTAAACCCACAATCTTAGTCACACATCTTCCCTAAACCCTAAACCCTAAGCCGTAAACCCACAATCTTCGCCACACATCTTCCCTAAACCCTAAACCCAAAGCCGTAAACCCACAATCTTAGCCACACGTCTTCATTTGCGGTCCTCCGCTCCGCAGCAAAGCCTTCAGTCGCAATGCCGCTTCCGAAGCCTGTGGATCATCTTCCTGGGGTATCTAATGCACTAGAACATGTAACGTAGGAAATAGCACAACGTGACATATAATGACTATGTAATGAATTATAAACTGTACAATACTACAATAGGTAGTAGACTACAGCAGATCTTTTTCCAAAGCATTTTTAGTATTCGTGTATTTTGGATCGTATCATACTCTGGATCTGAATCTGCCTGCGCAAGCAGTTTGTAGGACATCGAACTCTCCGACACCGTGCAGAGGCAGAATCGCCTGGCGAACATATCGAGCACAGATGTGGGTTCAGGGCTCAGGGTTTAGGGGAGTTCTTGGATGGCGCAGTAGAGTCGAAGGGATTCTTCCAAGCTCCTACACTAATCCTACCATTTGCTTAAGAACCCCCAAAAAATAAAAAATGTCTTCCTTATGGTGGTAATATAGGGATCATTATTTTTATTTTTTGGGGGTTTCTTAAGCAAATAGTAGAATCCCAATTAGTACGGCCGAAGCCCTGCAGGGTGTTGGGTCTAGGATGGATCGACCCCGTGGGGTGGCAAAGGATCTGACAAACTGTTCGCTGTAGGGTTTCCGGGTTAGGGTTTTGGATTTAAATTTCGGGTTTAGGGTTTTGGGGTTTAAGTTTCGGGTTTAGGGTTTTGGGGTTTAAGTTTTGGGTTTAGGGTTTTGGGTTTAAGTTTTGGGTTTAGGGTTGGTTCATCCCACTCAGTAGGTCTGTCATCTGATCGAGCCCCTACACCTGAGGCAACATGTCGCAACACCAGAACCCTACAACTCAAACGGCTGCTTTGCTGCTGAGTGCCCGCTAAGATCCGACCGCGAGCGTTCAAGCCGAAGCTCATACCATGAGACCCCTTCGATAGGGAGGGGTTGTGGGGGTTGTTGTTCGTAGATTTGGGGAACAACAACCCCCCCCCCACCCCTCCATCGAAGGGGTATGCATACGATTTCGAATTCAGAGGTTAGCCAGTTACTGCGTATCGTAGGTATGTAAGCAGAACAAGTACTAGCTTAAGCAATTAATCAAGTCAATCAGCAAGCCAAGACGTCCGAAAGCAAGTAAGTCAGCTAGTCAGTGAGTGAGTGAGCACACAAGACTCGGAACCCGAAGGAATAGTACTTGAAAGTAGTCGACCGCGCTCGAAACCCTCGATTCTGCTAGCCGAGCCTAAAGTCCTACCATGAAGCCTAGCCAATCATCAGAATGAATGCCTAAACCCTAGTATAGGGCCCCGAAAGAGCACTTAAGCAAAAATGAGGATAGGGATATCCCAGATAAACCCCCTATAATGAATCCCATTCAGGTGGCAATATCCTTATAACATGCTTATGCTTATGTGCTCTTCGGGTCCCTCATCGTAGCCCGCAGCGGCTGGATCCTCAACTCAACCCTGTAAAACTCGTAGAGAGCGCTTTCAGAACTGTGTGGTTTGGGGATACATGCAAAATCCGTGATATAGGGATTCAAGAATAATTAGAATAGGGTTTTGGGGCCCGTTATACCATAGGTATAATCAGGAACCCTCAAAATAGTATAGGCTATTACTAGGATGCCCAGTAACCTAATAAAAAGGCCTCCCTCTCTTTTTGGTATTGGGTAACTTTATCAGGAACCTAGGACTACAAAAAGGGAATAAGGGTACTACTGGGCATCCTCCTAAACCCTAAACCCTAAACCCCTAAACCCTAAACCTACAATAAGGGTACTACTGGGCATCCTATAAACCCTAAACCCTATAGATTCCCTTAAAGGTACCCATATAGATCCCTTTAAAGGAACCCTCAAAATAGTATAGGCTATTATAAAGGCCCCTATAGTATGGGACCCTCGCCTGCTCCGGCAGTGCGAGGGCTCGGATTGGGTTGCACGCTGCTTCGGGCCAAGATGCTACTATGGGGGCCTCAGTGATTACCGATACTGTTTTGGGGGTTCCTTATTATGAATAATTCATAGTAAGGAACCCCCAAAACAGTATCGGTAATCCCTGAATATAGTATAGAAGCACCAAAACCCTATTCTTGTTATTAAGGCCCCTATATTACCCACGACCAGGGCTGGTTGGAATTTGGTTCAGGGTTCAGCATATGGTTTAGGAGCGAGGGTTCAATTTTTACGAGGTCCAAGGTTGAGGTTCTTTAGGCTCTGATAGGTTGAGGTTCGATAGCTCTCTTTAACATAGATTTTGAGTGTAGCATATTCGGCCTGGTGGGGGCCAGAGTCAAGGATATCGGGGCTTTTGGGGGTTTACGTACGGTTCAAGATGTGGTGGTGTTTTGCGTCGCATAGCGTCTTGGTGCGGCTTTTCGGGCTTGTGAGGCTACTGGCTTTGTCTGTTTTCTGATGGAAGGAAGGGCTCTCAAGACACCTATCTTAGAGCAGCAGAGAGCTGGAACGACAGAGGAAGCCCTCACCTGGGAAAGAACTATCTCGTTGAATGGAGCGGTGTTGCTGGTCTAAGGCATGCACATGGGTTCTGGGCTAGTGGGGAACTCAGTGTACATGCCCTCTCGTTGAGGCGTTGTCCAGTGATCCGGCGTTGGAAGTGGATAAGCGAGGCAGACGGCAAAAGTGCCCGAAACCGTAGCCTGAATCCGAAACCCTAAACTTACCGCTACCGCATGTGCACGTCAAGACTAGACACGCTCTTCGCCTGAACTGATCAATAAACTATGCACGGCCCTCGTATTCTAAACCAGAAGACGGCAACTGAATTTCCTAAACCCTAGGCCCTAAACCCTATCACCCACCGAGTTTTCGAAACTCGCGGACACCCACCCCGCAGGTCATCGCGTGAGACATTCCGAAGGGTTGGGTTGAAGCTAGCCTCAACCGAGTTGAGGGCCCCAGCGTCTTTGCTTTGGTGTTCGAGCAACCCTATAAACCCCATTATACCCTAAACCCTATACCCTAAACCACCAGTTTAGGACCTAAGGTCTTCGCGCTTTAGGGCTGAGGTTTTGGGGGGTTTTAGGATCTTAGGGTTCAGGGTTTCTGATTCAGTTAGCTCTTCCCGAAACTTACAGATCCTTTCGGGGAATCGGGTCCAGGATACCCAGTAACCTAAGAATAAAAAGGCCTCTCTTTTTGGTATTGGGTAACTTTATAAGGAACCTAGGACTACAAAAAGGGAATAAGGGTACTACTGGGCATCCTAGGTTCAGGTGTCTAGAGTTTCCAGCGACCTGATCTTTCGGGCATGCTCTACTTGAACCTGGCATATCAGCATGTCACATTCCCGAAAACAGACCTTTTGTTCTGGGTGGGGCATTCAGAATTATACTTGGGATTTGGGGTGTAGTACAGCATACTTGTACAGCAGGTATACAGAACAGGGATGAGAAAACCCTACAACCCTGCTACCGGTCTGGGCTGTCGGATTCACACATACATGCTTTACATTCGCGTACATGCTGAGGGTCGTGGGACTCGGAATCCCCACGGCCTAGGCGTCGCCTGCTCCCAACCCATGCCGGCGATGTCAAGAACTTGGCTTGATGGAAGACTGTCTTGAAGCAGAGTCCTGTTCCGACCTTGCTGGTTGTGACAATTATAGGCCACAACGTAAACTGTAAAGTTCATCGCCGGAGTCACCATCAGCAGCATCACAACGATCGTCAGCTACCACGTTCTACTGCAACATTGTGTGCTACATTATACGGCTTCGGGCTCAAGCCATTTCAAGCAGAAGCAGAACCGTGCTATGCTGCAGATCTTCATAACACACGATGCCTCCGCCTCTCCACCCTCCTCCTCCTCCTCCTCCTCCTCCTCCACCACCCCCTGATCATGATGATGATCATCATCATCATTACCACGGCGCCCATCATCATTACCATCATCGTGTTTTTCGTTGACGGAGTTTCATACTCACACCGTCGCGAACCGTCGTCGTCTTCGTCCTCTGTCCGAGTGTTTGTTGTCCTCCTTCGCCTCTTCGGTTTTAGTCGCGTGACGAACATGCTTGCCATGTCAATTGCGGTGCTTATCAGGCTTTCTATCTCCTACCACCCTGAGGATACTCGCTCTTGTCGTGATCGTCGTTTTGACACCAACAAACTCAGGCTTCAGGCGGACAAAGCAGAACAACATCATCGCAGTGATTTGTTCCCCTTACGATCACAGTGCTTCTTCTGTGCATCCTAGTCTCGGTTGCCGGGTATCTTTGCAACTACATTGAGCGGAAAATTCCCTGGACGGAGGCCCAAGAATAGCATCGCTCATGATTTAGGCTTCTATAATGGGTGTGGAAACTTCTTGAGTCCTGCATGAGATCCGAAACTCATGTGTTTTCTCGTTTGCAGTGCTCACCCAGAGTTTCGGAACACATCTCCAATTTCTACCTCGGCCCCAAGAAACCAATACTTCTTGTAGGTTGGCCTGGGCCCCGGAAAGCCTTTGAACAACTATTCGGGCGTGAGATCCTCTTACGGAAATGAAACCAGGGAGGAATAAACATAGACTTTTGTTTCACCATGGTTCCTTTAAGGAAGAAGTCGCCCCCCCCCCCCGCCCTGCAAAAAACAGATAACATAGACGCTTATTTCTGAATGGTTCCTTGAAAGCAGAGGTCACCCCCGAAAAAAGGCGTTGAAGCATGGGACTTCAGCACCGTGGTTCAGGCCCTATGTCAGTCCCGATGACCTTCCTGTCCTGGCATAACACTAATGTAGTGGGCTGAAAAATTAGAATAGGGTTTGGGGGGCTCGTTCTTGCAATTATGGTATAATATACCCCCAAACCCTACTCTATAATTATTAAGGCCCCTACACTAGGCTTCCCAGTAATACCTAATTCGTTTTGATAACCCAGTAATCCCTTGATTTTGATAAGGGTGCCACTTTTTCCTGACATTGATGTGTAGTCAGGAAAGTCTCAACAAGGTGCTGCGTGAGGCGCCTGCCTGAAGGACATATTCCAAGACAGTCAGACCATCCCAGCTCACCCCGTCCTTCCATGCGAGCCCCCTTTCTTTGGCATTGAGCTCTTTGTGAGCAATTTATCTGACTGCCGGAAGGCAAAGCAAAAGGGGCTGACATGACAGGAGTTCGCGCTTTGCGACGGGTTCGTTAACACGCTAACGGCTGGCACGGTCAAGGTCCACTCCAACTTGTCGTCCGGCATGCCGGGCGTATCATAACATCATGCGAGGCTATCGAGTTGTGGCCAGTTCCATGCTGCATGTCCAAATACACATGTCTCTATTTGTTTACAAGGAGGACCCCGGGTACGTCCAGGCTCTCATTGCCGAGTCATCGGCACCTACGCTGAGCGACTCAGGTGTGTCACATTTTGCTCGAAAGCTGACCTTTCCTCTCCGTGTCTTGAACCCAGTCAAAGGCCCCATATTCTACATAACTCTGAAGCCCAAAAAAACCTATGAATCCAGAACCACACTTTGGCCCCAAGACCAAACCCTATGCCTGCTAAACCCTACACCCTATGGCCCTATGGCTTTGCATTCTTCGGCACCGGCTTGAGCCGTCTAAGCTCCGAGGCCCCCTCAGGCTCAGCCGCATCAGCCGCCTGCACCGCCAAGATTCCGAGCATGGCTTTGCGCCATCATATGGGTGGTTGTCAAAATTATGGTCCCTTTTTGGGTCCCCATTATAATACGGCACCTACTATTTAGGGTACCCCTAAAGGGACCCTAATTTTGACAACCATCCATATAACTCGATGCAATGTAGCAGAACAACATGCACTGCAATATCGTATAGTATAATAATATACTGAAGATAATCTACTTCAAGTTGTCTCAACGTGGCTTCAATTTCTCGGGTTCCGAGTAGGGGGTTCGTTGACATGGCTCCGAAAAGAGCTGGTTGAAACATGTCGGTGCCCGTGCGGCGCTTTCGGCTAACGGTCGTACCACTTGACCGAGATTCCTGGTGTCGGGCTTTGGGTGTCTAGGGAACAGGACCGATATGCCCAACGTGGCCGGATAAAGAGTGATTATGGCTGTTGGCGTGACGCTATCGTCGATACTTCTGACGAACGGGAACCCAGGCGGGAGTGTTCTCTTGGGGTGAGGTCCTGGACATACTGAAACTCTCTGACTCGTGGCGATAGTGGGCCCTTGTGGTGTTTATCGGTCATGCCTGGGAAGGCCATGACTGGGCAGGCTCATAGAATCATTAGGATCACCAGTGCCCTTCCTACTTATGGTATATACCTGCGATCACAAAAAGGATTCCCTTACACTCCTCAATGAAACGCTTTGGAAACCTCTGTGGGTTTCGATGATTCCAAGGTTCTGGCTCGCCACTAGCTGGCCGTTGCGGGTGGTTCTCATGGGTCGATATGCGCAAGCTACTACTCTTGCTGTACCCTAAACCTTAAACCCCAAGCCCTGAAACCCCAAAGCCTGAGGCCAGCAACAGCTTCAGCTTGGGCAACTCTTGGATCACTCGGTCGGCGAAGTCCTTCGCGCATAGATGAGGTTTATGTACTAACCCAGGCAGAGAACTTTCAGGCTTTCGTGTTTCATGGTCGGAACTTTTTTATGGTTTGGTGATGGCCGGTAGAACTCACAAATGGCGGCGACTCACCACTCAACTACCAAACCCCTTACAGCAACCTTCTAGCAATTCTTTTTATTGGGATTTAGGATTAGGGGCCTTCCGGATATAGACTCTCTCACTAAGGTCGATTTTAAGAGAGCCAGAAGTCGGGTTAAGAAGGGTCGCTTGAAGGGGTCTCCGTAGTACTACTTATTGCCTAGGATTAACTATTACGAAGTCTTAACAATCAGAATAGGGTTTTGGGACCCATTTTACGATGAGTATAAGAAGGAACCCACCAACATAGTTTTGGACAATAATTGGGGCCCCGAAATGCCCTTATAGATCCCTTCTAGAAATCCTTATAGACCCCCTTACAGGAACCCCTCAAAATAGTATAGGTAACTGTTAAGACCCCTATATTACAGTGAGTCTACAGCAAACCTCCTAGCAATCCTGATTCCTGAGTAGCCCCTTCAAGGAATAAGGGTACCCTTTTCCTAACCCTAAAAGAAAAAGGGCACAAGGGTGGGGAACCTAGTACAGTGAGTCTCTGCTAGCAAGCCCTTGGCTTGCTCGACCTCCAGTTGCCCCTCGAACGATTCTACACAGCTCTCCTTCTTCTTCTAGTAGTGGGAGTTTCCGAAAAAAGAGGGCCAAAAATAGAGTACCCTAAATAGTAGGATCCTTATTCTAAGGACCCCAAAATAAGATACCCCTATATTTTCGGAAACTCAAGGCTTTGGCGTATGACTGGTGCTTCGATTAGGGCATGTAGGAGTCAGGGGTCTACAGTGATTTTGGTGCTTGATTCGATTCTAGGGTCTTGAGAAACTTGATTCAAAAAAAACAAACACCCAATCTGGTCTTATGAATGCCCGAAACCCCAGGCCTTAAACCACACACTGCCAGAATTCTAAGCGGATCCTTGAGTTTGCTGAAGACTTGGCACTGCAGACATATCTGGATGCCTCCCAGATTTGGGATCCCGTACTTTCGGAGTCCTTCTCACAAAGGTCTTACTCTTAGTTGCTTAGTTCATAAGCCCCAAAAGTGTAAATTTTAGTTACAGCGGGTGATATTATCCCAAAACGTGTAATGTGCATCCACTGAGCTAAATGCTAACTAGGGGTCTATATTAGACTCCGGTTATGCATGTAACTGATAGTCACACCCGCGAACCCAAAAACCTGGCACGCGCTGACCTGCTCATCCTTCGCTGACGAAAACAACCTTGGTGAGCTCAGACATGCCCATAAACCAGGTTCTGATTAGAATAGGGTTTTGGGGTTTCCATATTATATATATGCGATACCAATATGCTAGGACCCAGAGTAGCCCCTCTATCATAAGAGTACACCTTCTCCTAATATTCAGTTGTACTAAGGGGGACCCCAAAACAAGAAGGGCAAGAGGGTACAACTCAGGAACCCAGCAAACCTTAAGCCTTAAGCGCTTAAGCTTCTCATATGTATCGATTACCCCACTTGTCGCAACAATTTATGGTTGTTGAAGCATTCGGCATTGCTTGAAACGCATCACGTTTTGCAAGCTGTCGTGTTTTGACAGAGGGGTTGACGAACACATCATGTTTCGTAATATTTTTCGACAGAGGGGTTGATGGACCAGAGGTAACCAAAAACACAGCTCTTCCACGGAAGCATGCTTTGGTGGAGCTGCCCAAGGATGACTGCTCTATGAGGGCTGTATAGGCTTGAGGGGTCAATGCTTGGTTCTGAAGAATACCCTTTCATTTCCCTGAGTAGTTCCACTATAACATTATAACATACCCCCAAGGCCCGGAGCTACTTTGACCCGGCTCCCCAGACAATAAAACCAAACCGAAACCCCGAAGCCTAAATCCCTAACCCCAAATGCCTCAACCCCAAAGCCTAAAACCCTGAACCCCGAAATCTTAGAACCCTAAATCCCTAAACCCCGAAGCCTAGAACGCTACATCTCTAGCCTAAAATTCTAAAACCCTAAAAAACCGAAAGCCGCAGAACCCTAAACCTCTAGCCGAAAACCCTAAACCCCAAAACCCTAAAGCCGTAAATCCCTAAACCCCAAGGCCTAAAACCCTAAACCCTAAAGCCCTAAACCCCAAACCCTAAAACTCTACACCCTAAAACCCTAAATCCCAAAACCTCAAAGCCTAAAACCCTAAACCCCGAAAAAACAACCTAAATCTTACACGCGAAACTAAGGCTTTGCCTTCTGCAGCCCAGGGGCCCTAGAGGATCGGCCCAAGACGAATTCAGCTTCTGCCGCTTCGCAGACCTTCGATGACTCTGGGTTTACTAGGAAGGGCAGGGGACTCAGTAAGTAGGTTATAAGTAGGGTTATAATTGGGGTAACTCCATTTAGGGTACTTATAACTCTACTTATAACCTACTTACTAAGTCCCCTGCCCTTCCAAGGGTTTAAAAGGAACTCCAGAAAGTTGGAATATGGTTTCAGGGTAGGATACCCCATAATTTACCATAAAGGGTTTAGGATAATCATATTCCAACTTTCTGGCTTTTTCGTTAGGGTTTAAGGTCTGGGATTTAAGGTTTAGGGATTCAGGGTTTAGCGATTTAGGATTTAGGGATTTAGGGCTTAGGGATTTCGGGTTTAGGGATTCAGGGTTTAAGGCATAGAGAGGCCGCACAACTTCGTCATGGAGGGCTTCATAAGGGTTCTAGTTATCTTCCCCAGGTGTCGGGGCCTAAGATTTCCCTACGCCAACCAAAAGCACGAAACGTCCCCAAACCAAGAGCATGAAACCGCCCTTGCTTCCCGGCTAACCCGAAATCAACCCATATCCCCTACTGCGCGCCGTGTTGGGTTCTCGGGAGCGTCTACTCTACAACCTGCAAGGCTAAACCTGAAATCGCTTATCCGATCCCTAAGCCACTGAACCCTAAACCACCACATAAGTTCAACCCTGAATTGCAGGCCCTTGCTTACAGCAAAGGAGGCTGCTCTGATTCCTGTACACTACGCCATAAGGGCCCTCTCAGGGTTACTATACGTGCTCCATAAAGAAGGGTACTACAAGGAATACGATACCGGTTGCTGTAAGGATTACTGTAAGGGCTACCATACAGGCTCTATGAGGGCTAGCAGAGGGGAACTACGGATCCTCGGCACACGCTCCCAGACCCCCGAGAGCATCCCAAAAGTAGATCCCTTGATGGGGTATGAAGTACCCCTAGTAGTATAGGGCCCCAACATAGGGATCTACTTTCCCTTATAGATCCCTAAACCCTAAAGGAGCCCTTAAAGGAGCCCTTTAAGGAGCCCTACTAAGTCCCATGAGTCTGGGAATTGGCGGCGTCGTGAAATCCAGCGAGACACATCCCGGTGCGGCGTGCAGATGGAGAAGAACAAATCACTTCTCTAGGGGCCTGAATGACTAGGATACCCAGTAACCTAAGAATAAAAAGGCCTCTCTTTTTGGTATTGGGTAACTTTATAAGGAACCTAGGACTACAAAAAGGGAATAAGGGTACCACTGGGCATCCTAGATAATCAATTAGAATAGGGTTCCTTTAAAAGGATCTCTAAGGGCTATATTACTATACGGGCTATTACAAGGATTTGAAACGGGGCCTTAATATTTAGATAAGGGTTTTGCGGCCCATTATACTATACTTATAATAAGGAACCCTAGAAATAAGATTGGTAGTTATTTAGGCTCACATATTATAGGTGTCCTGCATCCAGAACCTGGAAAAGCTGAAGATGGGAGAAGCCATTCCCCTGCCAGATTTTCCTTGCAAGCGTTCAGGAACGGTTGATGATATAAATCCTGCATTACCCATAATCAGGACTATATACCATAATTCCCATAGTGTAGGGTCCTTCAGGTAATGCAGGATTTATATCATCAACCGAAGGACCCGCTCACCTTAGCAGGCGGAGTCCTGCAATTGATCGTCCATCCGCAAATGGCCCTGGGGTTGAGCAACTAGGATACCCAGTAGCCCTTATAGTAACCCTTATAGTCCCCTCTAAGGTCCCTAAATCCCTTATAGTAGCCCTTATAGTAACCCTTATAGTCCGCTTTCAAGGTGTTATTACTAGGATACCCAGTAACCTAAGAATTAAAAGGCCTCTCTTTTTGGTATTGGGTAACTTTACAAGGAACCTAGGACTACAAAAAGGGAACAAGGGTACTACTGGGCATCCTAGGAAATGAAGCGACGCCGGCAAGACCCTAGGATGCTTAGCGAGCTGAACGGATTCATCGATTCTTCGCTGCTCCTTGGGGGCATACGTCTGAGTCTGGGAATGGTTAGTTTGAGTCGCCCCAGGGCCTCAAAACAGCTCCACTCCTGAAAGAAAGCGCAGAGCCCATGTAACGTGTTGCTAAAAGCGGTCCTATCGTCGAAGGAAGTGACCTGAAACAAGCTGGTCTCAGCCGCTAGTTTCCGTACAAGGCCTGCCAGGATTAATGCCAGCCCTGTCGGTGACCAAGGGTCACCCTGCGCAAGGCCCAAAGCGTTCTTCATGTGGGAAGGGTCGCCGCATTTCTTCAAAGCCCTAGATTGAGTTCTTGAAACATGCTGTACCCTACACCCAAAACTTGTATCTCCCTCAGCCCCGAAGCCCGTAAACCCAACATCCCAAGCCCCTAAACCCTAAGCTCCTAAACCCTATAGTACCTTTATTGGTCCCTCATAGTACCTGTCTTGAACCCTAAGCTCCTAAACTCTACAGTACCCTTATAGATCCCTGACAGAACCCTAAGCCCTAAACCCTTCAAAGACCTAGGCTTTCGATTTCTGAACACCCAGGCCGCCTCCCAAAGCTGCTATCGGCCTCGAACTCCTGGACAAAGCAGGGGTTTTGCAGCATTTTATCGGGTCTTTGCAGGGCTTTAGCTTTATTAAGGTTTGATAGATTTGGTTTAGGGTTTAGGGCCGGGTTTACAGAATTTTAGCGGCTCTTCGCAGGGCTCTTATAAGGTCTTATAGTAGAAGCCAGAAAGTTGGAACATCATTATCCCCATGCCCTCAAGGTAAAGTATAAGGGATCCCAGCACTAATCCTCCTAAATCCATGTTCCAACTTTCTGGCTTCTACTGTTATTATACATAGGGTGTAGGGTCTAGGAATTACAGCATTTTATGGGGCTCTTCTGCAAAGTTACAGAAGGGCTTTAATTAGGGCTTTTACAGGGTTCTGGTCATTTTCTCACGAAAGTACTTCTTATGTTTATCAGCATCAGCTCGCTGGGCCCAAAAGGCCCAATACCCCCTGGGATACCCAGTAACCTAAGAATAAAAAGGCCTCTCTTTTTGGTATTGGGTAATTTTATAAGGAACCTAGGACTACAAAATGGGAATAAGGGTACTACTGGGCATCCTAGGAGGAATGTACCAGACATCATGATGCCAGCCCCGTTGTGCATGAAGATGTGGTACTCAATGATTTAGGGGTCGTGGGCGCTCCGGGGGCCCCTTTGAGAGGGCTGATAGAGTAGAAGCCGGAAAGTTGGAACATCATTAGCCTCATGACCCTACAGTAAAGTATAGGGGAATCCCAGCATGAATCATCTTAAATCTATGTTCCAACTTTCTGGGATCACTATAAGTTGATACGGGTGTTGGATTTGAAGCTTTCGGGGTTTGTCTGCTGGAACGTGGCGGTTCCGGCTTTTGTTGGGGTATTCGGGGGTTTCAGGGCTTCACAGATTCGGGGCTGTAGGGCACAGGCTCCTTACCCTTACGGTAATTGGCGTTTCTGAGAGGCAGCGGCTCAAGCCATACAAAGTTGAATACCACATTGTGTTTTATTGCCATCATGGACTTGGGTTGTTATTGCTCTCGGCTCTTGCTCTGTTTGCGAAAGGAATTAGAGTTGGGACTGCCGTTCGTACGACTGTCACTGTTGCAGTGCTACTAACATCCTCACGCATGGTTTGTTATACATTCTTAATATCAATATTCTTCTTCTCACTGCTGCTATGTTTCGACTCTACCTTCGAGGAGTTCACTGAAGCTTGTTGAGGGGACTTATAAGCGTCTTGGTAGGCGTCGGGGTTTGTCAACCGGAAAAAGCCTGCAGTTTTTCCGATTGGCGACATTGCGTTAAGCGGCCTCTTATTAAGCTTGGCGGTACCCTGTGCCGACTTGGAAGGGCAGGGGACTTAGTAAGTAGGTTATAAGTAGGGTTCTAAGTACCCTAAATGGAGTTGCCCCAATGATAACCCTACTTATAACCTACTTACTAAGTCCCCTGCCCCTCCAAGTAGGCCCGAGATTCAGAAAGAGTTTGAGGCCGGGAACTCAGGGTCGGGAGCTCGGTGATTGACGATTGGCTGCGGTAACTGAGCTTTCCTAGGATACCCAGTAACCTAAGAATAAAAAGGCCTCTCTTTTTGGTATTGGGTAACTTTATAAGGAACCTAGGACTACAAAAAGGGAATAAGGGTACTACTGGGCATCCTAGTTTCGTCTCACAGGCACACAACCCTAACACCTAGCTTAAACCCTGCCACATGGAGCATTTTCAATCCGAAAGACGGCCCCGGACGTGAAACCCTACTCCCGTCCTTCGCCCTACTTGGAGTTTCGGGGTACTTACAACCCAGTCATAACTCTTCTTCCATTTGGGTTGTGTGTGCAGTTTTACTTGGTCATTTAGCCGAGTAAAACCCAGTCCTCCAAAATCCTAAACCCATCGAGAACCCTTTCTAGAGCACCTTGTAGAACCCCGTGAAGAGCCTTTGTAGAATGCTATGACCTAAACCCCAAACGCCCCAACCTCGATACTTTGCAGAGAGTCCTGAGAACACCCTTACCTACTACCTTGAACCCCTAAAACCTGCGTTCCTCGGCACGTTGTCGTGCGGATGCCACAACGCGCGCGGGGAAGCCGGCCAGCTCCGCCACGTAGGCACCTTTTCCGCAAGTTGGGGTTTTAAGCCCTCTAGGCTGCTGGGAGGTCGTTGCAGCAGGGGTTCGGTAAAGGAGTTCTCTAATGCCTTCTTTCAGTGCTTTTGGGTAAAAGATCTGAAACGGTTCTGCAAAGGTTCTGCAAGGGGTCTACTCGATTACCTAAACCCCTACAACTTGAATCCTAGACCTCTCAACTCGAACTTCTCTACCCCAGCCCACTGGAACCCTAAAGCTTCAACCACAACCCCAGTAACCCGACCAACCTTCAGAACAAGGCGTTGACAAAGACCTTGCAAACCTTTGCGACAAAGAGCCCAGAAAGGTGGAAACATGGCTACTCACTCCACAAAATAACAGAACTAGATTTACAACCCTGACATGGACCCCTTCCTACGAATTATCATGAGGATCCTAATGTTAATCAGGGGTTTACATTGAATCTCATAAGCCCCTACGCACACAACTATCAAGGCCATATAAGAGAGAATGCGCAGACTGCCCAAAATTGAGAACTCACACTAACCAAACCAAGAAACAACACTCGATGCAGCCGGCGCTAGGGTTTCTAGTTATGCTATGAATGCAAAGGGAACCCAGGAAAAAGTACTACAGTTTCTTCGAGCCACTGAACCCGAAACACTGAAACCTCAATCGCATATGCTCTATACTTAGAGCCCCCAGCTGCACTCGACCACGCTAGATGTGGGAGATTCCGAAATTAGGGGTACCCCATGGGGCGTAGCGTATTTTGGTCTTTATAACAAGGATCCTACTATTCATAAAGGGTACTACATTAGGGTCCCTATCCCGAAAACACCCATGTAAGAAAGCTGGGTTTCGGCACCGTAGCTCTGATCGGCCGCGCCATCTGCCAGGGCATAGAGGAAGGTGAGCCTGACACAAGGCTTGAGGGCCTGAACTACCCTAAACCCTGCAAACCCAAAACCGTAATCACTAAATCCCTTAAGCCACTACACCTTATAGACCCTAAACCCTGAAACCTGACAGTAAACCCGAAAGGCTCCGGGGTTTGCGTTTCGGCTTCGCGCTCAGGGATCTGGTGCAGTGGGGTCTTAAGTTGAGGAGGCTCGATGTAACACAGCATAATGTAGTGTAAAGCGACAGATGCTTTGAAAAGGCATGCAGCGGTGCAGTATGACTTGCTACAACTCTCCAACGCCGAACACACACTTTTCGTTAGCCGGAGACCGGAAATCAACTGGGTCCTGGGTCAGCGCATGACTTACCTTTGGTTAGTAGGGAATGGAAGAATGGTAGTAATAGTAGTTATAACTGTACCCCATTCATCCATTCCCTACTAACCAAAGGTAAGATTGACCAAAGAAAGAGTCTTGGGAAAGGAGGCGTCGGAGCTCCATCCGAGTCTGGCCGCAAGTCGCCTTGATGGTCTAACGACTGTGCAAACGTGGGCAAATGCTGGGCAATGCCAAAGTACATGAGTAGTTGTCCGCATTTTGTCTATATAGAGCCTCTCATGTGTATGTGTGCGCATCTGGCGGCTTACTGTCCGATGGCATGGCTGGACTCCAATGGCCAGCGACATCATGATCATGGAAGATACCTTAACGTTTAAGGTGTAACGATTTTTGAGGGCTCATGGGTTTGGAGTTAATTGCGCCGGGCTGGGTCGTATTGCATGAGCATAGACGCACAAGTCTCGGGATAATATAGGGGCCTAACTAATATGTAAAGTAGGGTTTCGGAGCATACTTTAGTATAACTTGAACAAGGAGCCCCCAAAATAGCATAGGTAAGTACCCCAGACTCAAACCCCAAACCGCCCCACATCATGAAAGCACTGCAAGTTTTTCACAATCTCCCATTCCTTCGATCTTGGGGGGTGATACTTGGCATCAAAGTGCACGGTGGTAAGTAGAGCGCCAAGTGAAGCTTGATCCTGCCTCCCGCTGGCCTGGTCCACCGCTGCTGTGGCGTGCCTCCAGGCATGACGTGAATCCGGAAGACTGGGCCCCAAATTGCGAAATCCCCAAACGAAAGGCTACCAGGTAGATTCGGGTAGATTTGCCGAACATTATAAGGGCCTGAACAGAACAAAGAGTTGGGGTAGAAAAGTACTATGTTGCTATATAGTAGCAAGGAACCCTATCGGAATCGCAGTACTCACGGTTCATTTAAGCTTCCACGTGAACCAGCCTGACGTCGCCTCACCTAGCCGATTTCGAGGCTTCCCTTGCGAGCATCCCCAAAGAAGCTTCCGACTCCGAATGGTTGAAGTTTGGGGTTAGGCTTGGAGCTCGACTTCCGAGTCGGGTTTAAGGTCGATGTTCAAATCCCAACGCAGATCTCGTTGGTGGTATCTTCAGCTCCGGAATCGTAGAACCGAAACAGTTGCATACCATTCATCCAAAAACGACTTCTCGAATCGAAAACCCTACCGGGCCTGTTGCGCACAGCTGCGGTTTTGTGCTCCAATGAGGCTAGCTCATGGAAATGCGTGGCAAACAGGGTGAAGCAGCGGATGTCCTCCGGATGGCGCGGAAGCGGGATTAGGATTCAGGCCCAAGGTGTAGACGTACTAACCCTCGGACCGTCGGTGGATGAAACAACATGATCAACATGTGTGGTCGTTTTGCAGGCTGCGGTTGGGAGAATACTGGGGAAGTGACAGCGGGGTCAGGCCTACAAATCCGGTTGTCAGGATCAGAACCCTGGTGTAACCTTGTAGTTACTGAGCATAGTTGCTCTTGTAAATACCCGTAAAAGAGCATTAATCGCGAACCTTAGTTACCCTCCCAGACCACCGCAAGGGTCTCAAAAGCAGATCGCATAATCTGTGACTCTAAATAAAAAAGGACGAAATAGCAAGGCCCTTAACGGATCTGCTTGTTGCATCCTTCCGGCGGACCCTAAACCCTAAACCCTCCTCTACCCCTACTATCGGGGCCTTAAGAATTAGAACAGGGTCTTGGGGCCCCTTTTACTATATACGTATAATGAGGAACCCCCCAAAATAGTACAGGTAATGATTTACAAGCCCCCACATTACCCCATGCTTCCAAGGAGCTTATTGTTAGGGCCCTAGACCACTTAAGGACCCAATAATAAGGCCCCTGGAAGCCCAGGGTTAATTACTTTTTGGTCCTCCACGAGATGCCTGGCAATCGCCCAGGCGAGACCAAAGCCGTCTGAGGTGGACGTGCCGCGACCTCTTTCGGGCGTTTGAAGGGAATTCGTTTTGGGGTTCCTCTTAAGGCAGGGATCTGTAGGGTTTAGGGTTTAGGGATACGGCTTCAATGGGAATCTTTCAAAGTCTTGACAGGGTTTCCAACTGCTTTGAAAGCATTGCAGGGTTTATGTAGGGCTACAGAGTTTATGTAGAGGGCTTGGAGCTTTGAGGGTTCCTGATCGAGGGGTTCTATAAGAGGTTTTGGGGTTAAGGTTCAGGATTTCGGCAGCCAAGCTTGAAAAAAAAAGGTATATCCCTGATTTAAAGGGTCTTCGAGTCTATGGGTACAGGGTATTGAATCCACCTAACCAGGAGGAACTTTTGAGAACATGCCTTGAATGTGTTGCAATCACCCCTCAAATAGGAATCTAGCTGAGCCCATGGCATCCTGGACCTCAAAGGCTTTCAAGACACCTACAACCCTGCAAGCACACATGCGGTGAGGGAGACTTTTTCCAACAACTCTCCAAAAACTCGATCCGTTGCTGCATGCTCTTTAAGCGGCAGTAACCACTGCAGGTGGACCTGCACCCGCATCGCCTGCACCCGCATCTGGGGGGCCGTTGTCGGGGCCAGGGCTTTTGCCTAGTGGCTCAGGAGGAGCTGCGTTTTCGGGCGGGGGCTTCCGTCCGTGCTTTTGCCACCACAGTCGCCTCTTCTGCCCCTTGCTGCCTCGCTTCTTCTCTTGTTCCTTTTCCCAATTCTTTCGGGTTTTCGCCCCGGCGTATGGACACTGGTTTTGGGAATTCCACTTCCCTTGGTAGAGCTGGCAGCTTGGGGTTGAGGCAGCAGCCGCCTTGATAATATCCGATCATTCCACATTTTTTGCAGAGCCTCAAGTCCAGCACCTCATGCGTCGTTGGAGCCTGCACAGCTCGAGGCTTGAGAGAGGTCCTTATTCTGATTTAAAGTCCATTCCTTCATTGAAGAAGGCTCGAACTAGACCCTAGACCCCAAAACCTGAAACTTTAAAACCCCCAACCCCTAAACCCCTAAACTCCTCAAAAACACCCCAAACTTGAAACCCTAAACCCTAAACCCTAAACCCTAAACCCTAAACCCCTAAACCCTAAACCCTAAACCCTAAACCCCTAAACCCCTAAACCCCTAAACCCTAAACCCTAAACCCTAAATTTATTTGTCCAGTATTCTGGGGAACCTGAAGGCTGACCTTTGGGATGATATGGGAGTGTCCGACAATTAGGGTTACCTTATTTTGGGGTCCTTTAAGGGTTCCTTAAAGGGATCTATAGGGGTTCTACAAATGGTTTAAGGTTTATGGTTTTAGAGTTTCCGAAATTTAGGGGTACCTTATTCTGGGGTCCATATAATAAGGATCCTACTATCTAGGGTACTACATTAGGGTCGGGTCCCCTTTTTTCGGAAACTCCCATATAGGGCTTATGCCACCCTAACACGGTTAAAGGTTGCCTTCTTCTACTGCTACCACTGCTACTATTGCTGCTGCTGCTGCTGCTGCTACTGCTACTGCTACTACTACTCCTGCTGCTGCTGCTGCTGCTGCTACTACTACTACAACTACTACTACTACTACTACTACTACTACTACTACTACTACTACTACTACTACTACGACTACCGCTGCTGTCACTACTACCACCACCCTACACCCTGAACTCTGACCCTCACGCCCTTCAGTACTGCCAACAATTTCAAGGTTACCTGGTACTTGAATATCCACTTATAACCCCAATTCGAGTACTTTTAACCTTACTTACTAAGTCCCGTGATCCTCCAATAGTAACCTTAGTTACCCAAACCTCAAACTCCCTTAGGTAAGTCTAGGGAATATACCTTACATTCTCTAAGTCCCCTGATCCTCCCTGTCCTATATACTACTCAAACCCTAGACCCTGAACCCTAAGTACTGCTACGTAAACCCTATAAGGACCGAGGTCAGCCACCGAGCTCATCGACGATGACCAGCGACCGTTCCGTGGCGGTCTTGAGGATACAGGAGGCCTGACATGGGGCCCTTTATTTAGGGGGTTTAGGGTTCCTTTAAAGGTGCCTGACTGTAAAGGGTTAGGGTTGAGGGTTTACGGTTTAGGGTTCCATTAAAGGTTCCTTTAAAGGGTTTAGTAGGGTTCGTTTAGCTTTCCTTGAAGATTTCCATAAGGGATTAGCAGTAAGGGTTTTATGATATGGGGCTCCTTTGCGGGCTCCTTTAAGGGTTCCATTTGAAGGAGACCCTTGGGCTTTGATGATCATAATAGGGTTTGACGCTTAGCGGGTTCAACCTGGGATGTAAGGGTTCCGGTCTGGTGTGATGAGGTCAATAGAGTTCCTTTGAGGGCTCCTGCAAGGGTTGTATAAGGGATAGCAACAAGGATTGTCTATGATATAGGGACGCTGACGTTTTTGATTTTGATGGGGTTGCTTGGAGGGATTCTGCAAGGGTTCTATGGTATGGCGGCCTTAACGACTAGATTAGGCTTTGGAGTAGATTATGGTATACCTGTAATAAGGAATGCTAAGGAATGACGTTCGCTTTTTTCGCGCTTCTGAATTGCCTGGGGTGTTGTCTTTATACTTGAGACGGGAAACAACTTGGAGGGGCAGTGGACTTAGTAAGTAGGTTATATAAGTAGGGTGATTAATTGGGGTAACTCAATTTAGGGTACTTATAACTCTACTTATAACAAACTTACTAAGTCCCCTGCCCTTCCAAGAAGGTCAAGGCTTTACGCTTTCGAGCTTCAGGTAGGGGGTCGGTCCCTACTGGTCGTTCACTCAAACGGGCCACTCAAACTGCTACTGTTGTCATCAGTGTACTGAGGGGATACTACTGTTGATGATCTAAATCATGCATTACCTTAATGACCCTAAACTATGGGGATTATGGTATATTTTAGAAGGGCCCCCCACCCTGTAATAGTGGTATAATAGTAATCTAATGGGGCCCTAATACAATCCCTATAGTCACTATTACAGGGTGGGGGCAGCTTCTAGCTGCTACTATTGTTATCAGTGTCTTGCTTGCAGGATGTCTCCATCGTCTAGACTTTCACCAGATCCAAGTTTTGCTGAACCCTAAATCCGCTTGACCTGCTCAAAGGCCTTTGCTTCAACCTTTAGGAGTTAAGATTCTAGGTTCCTGAGTCACCCCTTTGCAATACAGGTACCTTTTTCCGAATATTCAGTTTTAATAAGGGGACCCTAAAACAAAAATGGCAAAAGGGTACTACTCAGAACCAAGGATTAGGGGACCCTTGGGGTTCTAGACCCTCTCAATGAGGTCCCTTTTAAGACCTTTTAAGAGAGCCAGAGGTAGGGTTAAGAGGGTATCCTTTCACCCAGAGACTCCAATATCCCTTAATTAAGGAATATTCCTTAACTAAGGGATATTGGGGTCTCTGGGAAGGGGGCAGCCCTGCGTCTGGAGGGACCGGAAATTCGCAAGCCTCCTCCCAAGACTCGTACGCTTCATGTCCACAACGCTGTGAGGCGCAATATCATTATAATACAGTATAGTATAATATTGAAGGGTACTATAATACTATAAAAGGGATACTGCCAGGAATACTGGAATGGCTGCCATAAGAACGTTCCAGCTAAACTTGACACCGTGCGACACCCCCTACCTGTAACGAATCGACTTGAAAGTCAATCCTAAACTTCTACAAAACCACCCTTTGCCATAAGTAACTCTTTCGGAGGAACACAAACGCCTCAAGTCCTGCCTCAAGCATCTCTGCCATGAACGTGGAGATGCCTCCGATTGCTTTGGGCTTGCAGGAAGGTAAATAAGTACAGGCTTGGGGCCGAGCCGGGTTTGGAAAATGGGTGTTGCCTGTATTAAGAACCCAGTTTCTTCCTAGTGTTCAATATGGGAGTTTCCAAAAATAGGGGACCCTAGTGTAGTACCCTAAATACTAGGATCCCTATTATATGGACCCAGAATAAGGCGCCCCAAATTTTCGGAAACTTCCATATGGGTGGTTGTCAAAATTATGGTCCCTTTTTGGGTACCTACTATAATACGGCACCTATTATTTCGGGTACCCCAAAAGGGACCCTACTTTTGACAACCACCCATATGTAAGGTACTGTAAGCATAAAGAACCCACAAATTGTAAAAACGAACAGCTGCGCTGTGATTCGGCCGAGATTGGAGATGACTTTGCAGGGAGCCCTCTTCAGCGTTTAGACCTGCGGGACGTTGGGGATTAAGCTCAGAGATGAGGGTTTGCGGTTTGGGGTTTAGGGTTTCAGGTTCAGGCAGAGTGTTGAAGTATACAACCTCAGCATACAGGTGTCAGATCACGTGACCTCACCAGAGGTGGCAACACGAGCAAGGAAATACGCTTAGCCATCCCAGCTAAGGCGTATTGTCGGGGCTGACTTGTTCTTACATCGGGAGGATCCAAAAAGTAGATCCCTTTCTGGGGGTTCCTATAAAGTACCCTCAGTAATCTTGGCTGACTTCGGAACCCCTCCAAAAAGTTAAACTTGTAGCCTCCTTACTGTGGTTCATATAGAAACCCAAAAAGTTAGAGTCCTAAGAGCCAACCAGAAGAACGCCAAGTATAGGGCCCCAAATCCGCCGAAGCCAGAGGCCCAGGCGTCTTGGGGGTTACCTGGTTACCTCAAGTACCCTCCACCTAATCCTCCTCCCTGCGCCCTTTTGCATTCATTTGCCACTGTTTTTGCAGCCTTCCCCCCCTTGTCCCCCCTGGCCCCCCCAGCTCTTGAGCCCTCACCTCAGATCTGCCCTTCCTTCTTTGCAGGCAAGCAGCCACCACTCACATCAATTCCCGGACTACGCATGGTAACTGACGTTCTACTGCCCCCTCGCCCTGCGGCTGACAAGCCGAGCCGGGCCGCGTAGCGTTAAAATTAGGGGATCTACTTTCTGGATCCTCCCCGGGGGTCTGGGTTACTGGAGACTCTGGATGTGGGGCTTCCGATTTCTGTTCGAGATGGGTCAAGGTGGAGGGCCCAATAGACGTACCAGCTTTAACTGCAGTAGTCGTAGTAGAATAGATGACATGAAGTACTATGCTCTAGTTGTGCCAGAGATTACAGTAACCCAGACCCCGGGAGCCCTATACTACTAAGGGTACTTTATAGGAACCCCCCATGAAAGGATCTACTTTTTGGATCCTCCATGGGGTTTGGGTACTAGACCATGCGATATGAGCTCCTGCCTCGCAGTTGCACATCCGACGCACCGACACGGCACCTGGAATGGGAGGTGGATGAACTTACCTTTGGTTAGTAGGGAATGGAAGAATGGTAGTAATAGTAGTTATAATTGTACCCCATTCCTCCATTCCCTATAACGTGACACTTCCCCATGACCATGCCATCTCCCTTGATTGGCAACAGTTGTGATGAGGGAGGGACCCTTATACCCTAAAGCGCAAATCCTCTACCTCTTAAGCCCTACATCCAAAACCTTACACCCCTTAAGCCCTTAACCCGATACCTCGGAAAGACGCCGTGTTTTCTTCAGATACGTGCAGCTTCAGATTCGGATGCCGGTTTGAGTAGCATGCTTAAGACTCCGGTTTCGGGTGTCGGATCTACGGGTTGCGGGTTCGGGGTTTAGTGGTGTAGGGTTTCTTTTCCTCTGTTTCCATTTCTCTTTGCTGCTGCTCAACTTCGGCTGTTGAAGCTTTGCTGATTTTCTGGTCGCTTCCCAAGCCCACCCAAATACATGTTCCAAGTCCTGCTAAACGCATTTGGCATCGTTTCAACAGATCTAGGGCTCAACTTCGTTCTTATGTCTGATGAAAATGACCCGGTTCGGAACTCCTGAGGGGGAGGTGGGGGGTTGGAAAATGTCATGGGTTTCTGCTGTCGGTGGGGGTGTCACTCAGCACAGACGGCATGGGGTTCGGGCTCATGGCTGTGTCTCTAGGATTCAGATGGCCATTTACAAGGCCCTGTAGAAAGACATTTTGCGGTGGGATCGCTCCATGACCAGACTGGTCAAGTCTGAGTCTTTGGGCTTGAAGGATTGAAAGGTCGTGAGGGTCCGTTGCAGGTTGAGAAGAGCGTTTAGGTTTGAGGATGCGTGGGGGGGCTGCCTGAAGCTATTGTCCTTCTTGGGTCCTGTCGGGCCAGGCCAGTCTTTCAATGCTGGCAGATTCGCTTCCGCCCTCAGGACGACAAGAGGCGCAGGAGACTCCACCCAGAGACTCCAATATCCCTTAATTAAGGAATATTCCTTAAATCATATTAGGGATCCTACTATAATTTAAGGAAGATTCCTTAATTAAGGGATATTGGAGTCTCTGGGCAGTTACATTTTCTTGCGCTGTCGTCGCACTGTGCGCAGTGAGACGTCGCCAGGCATCGGTAAGCTCCTGCAAGCGATGAGGTGCCCCCGAGGGAGCTTTTAAAGCGACCTCGAAGGGGCCTGCAGTCCTTCCCTGGCTCTGGGAGTTTAGGGTTTAGGGTTCCTAAACCAGTGCAGCAGCGCCACAACCCCACAGGGCTGCTCTTCTGTGTGAAGTGTGGAAACTTCAGCCGCTGCACCATGTATTAGGGTTTAGGTTTTTTTTTTAAGTGCAATGACGCCCCTTTCTCCAAAGCGCGCCTACCCAAAAGAGGGCATACACTGAATCAGCACACCCCGCTTTGCTACGGAGAAAAATGCTGAGGAAAATCTACCTTCTGCTGTCCCTCACAGAACAGAGTCGGGATCACATCGAAATCTTGGAAGTCATCACGCTGCCATGCACCTAATTCCAATTCACGGATACATCTAGGAAAACGTCTCGCCGGCGTGCACTTTAATTCCAATTTGGGATACATCTGGGAAATCGTCGCGATAACATGCACCAAATTATTTCGATCTCGGATTTGCGGAAGTTGTCACGTGTCACAGATCTGTACAGACATTTGGCAATACTCGTAAGGGAAAATTGGTACTTTTGTACAAGCTCTCAGATGTCGCCTCCCATCGGCCTTCCTGGTTGGTCCGCAGCTAGGGGCTGAAACCCTTGCACTGACATGCATCCGCAGGGAGGGGCTAAAACCCTTGCACTGATGCACAGATAAAAGTCACGGGGATCGACACAATAGTACGCCATGCACCAGATGCGATTTGTTCCATGCCGTGGTCTTCAGTCGATGCTCGGACCATTGAAGCTGTGGCACTGATCCACGGTTTCGAATCACATGCAAAGCGGGGAGTGCAATCCAATCAGCTGTCTGCGAGTCTTCGAGAGGTGGCTCCGACTTGCAAGGATACACACCACTGTTGCACAGCATGTCCGGATGGCGTTGATCCACCTGTCCGGGGTGTTGGCATCCCATGCATCCACTGGACCACTGCGAAAGGCTAAGCTGCCAGGAAAATCTCGAACCAACATCTTGAGCCAAAATGGCTTGAGCCATAGCCATTTAGGGTTTAGGGTTTAGGGTTTAGGGGTTTAGGGTATTCCATGTCAGCCGCCACTGTCCCATCATGTGGCTTGGTAGCCCACTGCGAGGGGCTTGCCCGGCCGAAGATCCAGTTCGGATGCTCGTGGGTATCTCTCTTCATACGCTACGGCTCCACTGCAGGGAGTCCTGATTAAGTACATGCACTGCGTACAGCAAAAAGCCGCCGTGAATGAGCTCTTAGAACTCCCTTCGACAGGTGAGGTTTAGCTATGCAGGGCTTGGGGTTCCTTCCCTGACAGTCTGAAATCATCCTAAACTCCCCCAACTCTAAGCCTGAGCTCCTGGTCTAAAACGTGAGAAGTCTCCATTGCGACTTGCCTGTACTTGGAAGGGCAGGGGACTTAGTAAGTAGGTTATAAGTAGAGTTATAAGTACCCTAAATGGAGTTACCCCAATTATAACCCTACTTATAACCTACTTACTAAGTCCCCCAAAGCCCTTCCAAGTATTTTTGAATTCCCTGACTTCTGCGACCCCTGCACTCTCCAGTCCCCAAGCTATCCGCCAAGGCACTTACCGTTTCCCCAAAAAGGACCTTTGTCTAGACCCAAGAGTAGCCTAGGAACAAAAAGGGTGCCCTTTTTGGTTTAAAGGGGCTTATAAGGGAAACTGAACCCTAAAAAAGGGAATAAGGGCCTACTCTAGGTCCTAGTTGTAGATCCTACAACATGAACCATAAGGGCACCTGAAAGGTTTAGGTCGAAAGGTCTTACCTAAGTCCTAAACAGCATTTAATCGGAGGTTTCTGGATGGATGTTCTAAAGCAGTAATGAGGAACCCTAGGTAATGATGTTTGTAGTTGTTCCGGCCCTCAAATAACAAGGTGCAGTGCAAGGTAAGTTCCCTTCTTAGTTGGGATCTCCTCATAGGGAGGTCTAGTGTCAAGGCTCTCTCCTTCACAAGGACCTCCAGAACCCTAAGCCCTAAGCTTTAAGAATTTCTAAACCCCGACGGCTTCAACCCCAGAATGCTGAAGCCAAGAATGCTAAAGCCCCGTTTCCTTTACCTTAGAACTATGGGAGGCCCGTGAAATCCTGCTTGGGGGTTCAGATGACGTACGACCCTAGCAAACCTCTACCCAGTGGCCAAATACAAATCCATACTTATAGCTAACTAGATTGTCACTAAGTTACAAGCGCCCGAAAAATGAATGCCCAAACTCGCAGCGTCTGCAGAAACCCTTCAGGGCCTCCGAGGAAAACCCTCGTAGTGTTCTTGTAGAAACCCAACACCCTCATCGGACGGTTATAAATACAGTTTGGGCCCAAACCCGAAACTCTGAACCCCCAAAACCCAAACCCGAAAACCCCAAACCGAAACCCTAAACCCTAACCCCAAAGCCTGAACCCCCAGAACCCCGAACCCAAACATGTGAAGCCTGACCCTAGGTCCCCCAAATCTCACGAAGCCCAAACCCTAGGAACCAAGAGCTTTAGGAACACCTGGGCCCCCTGGCATGATGGAATCGAAGCAGGGAAGAACGGCTCTCCGACCTGAGACCGGGGGAAAAGGGTTACTCCCAAACCTGTTTCTTAGTTGCTGAGTTCACAAGACCCCAAAAGTGTACACTTTCAGTTTTATGGTGGGTAATATTATCCCAAAAAGTGTAAAGTGTATGCACTCAGCTACTACGGTTTTCCTTTTGTTTTGAAGAACCTACCTTCGGCTGCAGGGGGTTTTGGAGTCTCTGGGAAGTGGAGGAGATGAAAAGCATGGCTGGGCTGTCAGCGCTATAGGGTTCTGCTTCTTCTTCTGCTTACCATGATTATTCGGTTTAGGGTTCAGGGTTTAGGGTTGCTTCTTCTTCTGCTTACCATGATTATGATGATTAGAATTAGAAGAATTGTTGTCGCTCTTAGAACTACTATGGCCGACTTTTGTTGCGATTACGATTGTTGTTGCTGATACTATTGTTACTTACGAGTAGTATGATTAGTTGCGGTTTAGGCTTTACAGGGAACTCCAGAAAGTTGGAATATGGTTTCATGGTAGGATACCCTGTAATTTACCATAGAAGGGTTAGGATAATCCTATTCCAACTTTCTGGCTTCTACTGTAGGAGGCCTGAACAAGGTCTTAGGAGCTTCAAGGGGTTGAGGCCTTTCACGGGAATTGAGGGCTGTTGGTGGCTTCAATGGGATAAAAGGTCTTAAGGGTGGGCTTTTCGGGTTGAAGACCTAAACATTAAGAACAGGGGTTCTAGGATCTGCAAGTTCAGGGAGAGGGTTAAGGATCCATGGTCCTGGTTCCAAGTCTCTTGCGGCAGAGTTTTCAAGGTGTGGGAGTCGTGGTAGGACCCAAGCCCCCTGACAGGGTTTAGGGTTTAGGGTTTAGGGTTTAGGGTTTAGGGTTTAGGGTTTAGGGTTTAGGGGATCTAGCCCTAATCCGTGGAACTACTCAACAGCCCTTCTCTTCACCAGCAGAGTGGTCGAATATCTTTGGACGTTCTGTTTCTCCAAAGCTCATATCCGTCAGCAATCAAGAAACCGATATCGACCGTCAGGAGCTCTGCTTCTTTCATGCTTGAATGCATCTGGGGTGGGCTTGTTGATTGAACCTGTGCTCTAGTCGTCTCAAAGGAGCCCTTTAGAGCAGATATCTTCAAACCGTTATAAGTCCCTCACAACCCCCTTTTTCAAGCCTGAGAAGTTGGGTGCGGCCCCCATGCAGTAACAATCAATGACAAGATTACTCTGACTAAGGGCCGTATAGACTACTGCAAGTATTTTTCAACTATTACTGCGTGGGGGTCGTATCCAACATAGAAGCATCCAATAAGTCCTGAAATGTACCTTTCAAAGACCTGTCAGATATATAAAGAAATAAACATAAACAAAGATATATTAAATACATATGTATATATATATATATATGCAAGCATCACACTGTTTAGCAGCTGCGCCGAAGCCGAGGAGCAGGGCACGAAGCTTCCGATCTGATTCAGCAGGGCGATCAGCGCCACGGACCTTCCACTTGGAAGGGCAGGGGACTTAGTGATTTTTTTATCTGTAGAGTTATAAGTACCCTAAATGGAGTTACCCCAATTCTAACCCTACTTATAACCTACTTACTAAGTCCCCCGCCCTTCCAAGTAGAAGTAGACCCTAAACCCTAAACCCCATAAACCCCTTTAAGGAACCCTATAGATCCCTTTAAGGAGCCCTTCAAGAGCCCTTACTAAGTCCCCCAAAGCCCTTCCAAGCAGGAGACTCCGACACCCTTTGCTGAAGCAAGGCAGGGCTTCCTCTACTGAACTTAGACCCCTCGCAAACATTATAACTTGAGCTGTTTCTTAAGGGGTTAGGGTTTAGGGTTTAGGGTTTAGGGCTTAGGGTGTTTCTTAAGGGGTTAAAGGTTCCAAAGATCAAGAATTATTTCTAAGTGCCCCTAAGTTTCAGGTTTGTGGCTAAATTCCTTCAACTTAACACTTAACGCCCTTGCATCAAAGATCCTACTACATGCGTCGGTATTCAGGTCCTTTCTGAAGCTCTCATAGGCCCTTTGGGGTATATTATGGTGCTACTACATGGGGGCAATGAATGGCTGACTGTCCAGACAGAGATACTGCAGCAGCGAAGATTGCAGATGGATCCTTCATCTGAATCCTTCATCTGATTTGAGGCATATCAGTACCCCTTGACTAGGCCTGGAGCTGACAAGTACAGAGGGATGCTTCGTCTGAATTGAAGTATAATTGCTTAAGAAACCCTGAATTCCCATCGCCGAGGGTGGCAGGTCTCGAAGCCTATACGCAACGTCCATGAATCATTAAGGATGCATATATGAGTATTGAGGATCCGGTTTTTGTCTTCGGGTCTAGTCTACGGTACCTTCAGTTCTGAAGGATTAAGTTTCGGAATAACCATAAACCCGAAACCCTAAACTATAAACCCTAAACCCCTAAACCCTAAACCCGAAACACTAAACTATCTGCAGCCAGACCTTTTCTTGCTGTACCGCAACAGTCGCACAGCGCTTTCTCTTCCGATGCCCTGGACACACCAAGGGATCGCTTCGTCGGGGTGTGAGGTGTAGATTGGATACCGCCCCCATACAGTAACAGTCTATGATAGGGCTACTATTAAGGTCCTAACATATCTATATTATAAATAATATCCAACTGTTAGTGAGTGGGGGCAGTACCCAAGGTGTAGAGCTTTGGGGGACATGCTGGATGAGTGCAAACTACCACAGGGCTTAAAGCTGTCGTATGCATGTTTCAGTTTCCTTTGAGCTGTCACGAAACTTAGGCCATACTGCACCTCAAACCCCTTCAGAAATTCGCTGAATATGTAGTCATTGTACAAACATCCGTGGCGGAACGTCGGCAAAAGCCGGCTGTACACTGTGCATGGGGTGATTTCCGCTTTCTTTCTAAAGCATCTGACTCGCCGTCGGAGGATCGGAGCATGGAGAGTCTACTTTCAATTTTGTTGAGCTTCTGAGCGAAACGGCCGTTTCGTGCAGACCTCAATACAAGGAGGCGGCGGCAAAGCAAAGCCGCTCTCTGTTGATTTCAGGGTGCTGCAGAGAGGTGATGAGAGAGCAACTGGCAGCTGCTGAGTCGTCTGTCATCCCCAGATAATTCCGACCGCCACTCTCCGCCCACCACTCATTGCCCGGATGCGCATTCCCATCCCAGGCATACATGGCCACCAAGAGCCGGCCATGCACAGGCTCTGCAAAACCACTCTGCGTGGCAATCACCTGATAGGGATCCACTCTCAGGGTCTGCTATCATGCGGGTTGTGCGGGCTACTTGTTGGACGGCTCGGTCTTGCTGGGCTGCGACTTTCTACCTGACACTGCCAATGCACTACTGCGACTGCGACTGCGACTGCGACTGCTACTGCTACTGCTACTGCCGCTGCTACTGCTACTGCTACTACTACTACAACTACTACTACTACTACTACTACTACTACTACTGCTGCTCCTGCTGCTGCTCCTGCTGCTGCTGCTGCTGCTGCCGCTGCCGCTGCCGGGGCTGCTGCCACCACCACCACCACCACCACCACCACGACTACTACTACTACTACTACTGCTACTACTACTACTACTACCACTACTACCACTACTACCACTACTACCACTACTACCACTACTACCACTACTACCACTACCACTACCACTACCACTACCACCACCACTACCACCACCACTACCACTACCACTACCACTACCACTACCACTACCACTACCACTACCACTACTCCGACTCCCACTCCTGCTCCTGCTCCTACTGCCACTGCCCCTTTCCTATGCACCATACCAAAAATGGCACTGATTCTGATCTACTCCGTACAGTCCCTGCTGCCGCTACAATCCGATCTAACGACAACGGTCAGCCGGACAGCTCCAAACCTCAGCCTGCCAACCCTTCCGCCAACTTTTTCTACAAATGTTGTCAATGGTGTTGCCATTCTTAGCGCCCCAAAAAAGCACAGAAGCAAACATCATCGGGATATCCCACGTACACCGCTTATACTGTTTTCTGAACTCCAGCTAGACTCTTTGTTCAGTGTTGCTAGTCTGATGTGCTATTGTTTGCCCCGAGTGCCCGACCTGAATGCCATGCGCCGCACCAGCATAAACCACAGAGTCCGGCACAGCGCTCGGGAAGAAGGAGAAGTCCAGCACATCAATGCCCTGCAGGGCATTCATTGGCTTTATTGTTGCTTGTTGGGGTTTAGGGCGTTTTGTTGTTTAAAGGCGTTTTGGGTTAAGGGTTTTGGGGGCCGAGGGTGTGTACACAGAGTGTTGGGGCCTGCATTCTTGGAATAGTTGCGGTATAACTCTATCGGAACGATAAGGGGACGGGATGTGTGTTGCTAGTTCTGGGATGGCCAGTAAACCCCCTCCAAAATGAGACCGCCCCTCTTGCCTCTTATTCAGTTTCAATGACGAGCCCTGGAAACAATTAGGGTAACGACAACTACGGGGGGACCTGGAATTTCAGATCTCTCTACTACTGCTTGAAGGCAAACTAGGATCCTACGGGGGGAGTGTCAGAAATACTAAACCCCATTCTTGTTGTACCATTCCTGAACATGGGCCCTGCAACAAAAAGAGACCCATTTGGGAGTTTCCGAAGATTCGGGGTACCTTAGCTGCCTTAGCTTGGGGTCCCTGATAAGATTTTGATAAAATAAAAGGATCCTACTATTTAGCGTACTATATTAGGGTTACTCTATTTTCGGAAACTCGCAAATACCTACCAATATTACTCCTTAGGGTTCCTTATTACTCTCACAATACTATAAAGGACCCAAACCCCCATTCGACAGCGGAGCAGTCGAAGGGGACACTCTCGCTTCTGTGTAACGGCCAATCTGATTCCATAGTTTCCGGTTTAGGAATTTAGGGTTTAGGTTGCAGGGAATTCCGGAATGGGGTACAATTATCACTACTATTTCTACCATTCTTCCATTCCTACTAACCAGGGGTAAGTAGACCTAAGAGTAACCTAGGAATAAAGCGGGTGCCCTGTTTGGCATAAAGGGGGTTGAAAAGGGAACCTGAACACCCAAAAACAAGGGAATAAGGGCCTGCTCTAGGTCCTAGTTTCTATACAACTTAGTGTATACCATGGTATAGTTTTTCCCACAACCCTAACTTAGTTATTATATATAGCCCCATATCGAAAACGCCCTGGCCTCAAGTGGCTCCTCCCGGAGGATCCTCTCGTAGACTCTGTACATCAAAGACTCCTGCATCTTCATAATATGGGCACCTTGATGGGGTTTGGGGCTCTTTTAAGGGCCCTTTGAGTTAGTCCTTAAAGGTCACCATGAGGGGCCCTAATACGGTTTTGAGATATGTCACAGTATAGTGAACAAGCAACTCTGACCCAGACCCGCGGGAGGATCCACAAAGTAGATCCCTTGATAGGGGTTCCGAAACAGTACCCTTAGTACTATAGGGCCCCAGATTAGTGGATCTACTTTCCCTTATAGCTTTCTAAACCCTAAACTCTAAAGCATCCCTTAAAGGAGCCCTTTAATCAACCCTACTAAGTCCCATGATCCTCCAAAGGGGGTCTCCTCAAGTTTCCATGTCAGCAAAAGAGCTCCTGGAAGGCTCTTGCGACTATCATACCGTTCTCCTCAATTACATGGAGGGTCGAGGGACTTAGCAACTGGTCATTTTAGGGACTTATAAATACCATAACCCCCAATTAGGGTCCTTTTAGGCTTAGGGTACTTATAAGGCTACTTACTACCTGCTTACTAAGTCCCCCGACCCTCCAAGTAGGGTTTACGGTTTAGGGGCCCAGCACGACCAATAGCTCAGTTCACAAGCAGTGGTGATTCAATGATTAGGCTTCCCGAAGACGACGACTGCAACGATGATGGATGGCAGTAACAGAGTGGCCTTAACAATTAGAACAGGGCTTGGGGGTGTATAATGCTTTACAGTAGAAGCCCAAAAGTTGGAAACCCCATAGCCTCGATCCCAAAGAGTAATGTATAGGGAATCCCAGCACTATTTGGCCTTAATCCGGCTTCCAACTTTATGGGGATTACTGTACCTGTATTAAGCCTTGCTAAAGGATAACACTGCAAATTGTTCAGGCTAGAAATGCCGCGGTGGCCATTAAGCAGTATCCTGAGCCCAAGTGCAGCCCTCTAGTCCTCACTGCCACCGCTGCTGCTACCGGACACCATGTTCGGGGTAGAATGAGATTGGTTGTTTTCGTATCTTTACCATTACTATTCCCAATGGCCTTTGTAGCATGCATCGTCAACGTTATTTGCCTACATGAACACCGTTGCCACTACAAAAATCAATACAATCCTGTTTGGGAACGTTTAAGCCCTATAACTACAATTGCCGCAGGGACCTTGTGAAATCCATATACACACCGACAATAAACCCTGCTACATTTTCAGCCTCTGCAGTCAGAGTGAACCATAAGGGAGATTCCGAAAACAGCGGACCCCCACTTTTTCGGAAGTCCTCATATGCCCGGGTCCATTGAGCAAACCTTACAGCCCTGTATAGGATCCCAAGCCTAATGTGGGGGCCTTAATAATTCGAATAGGGTTTCGGGCCCATGACACATTATATATATATATATATATATATATATATATACACACACACACTTATAATAAGGAGCCCCCACATTAATACAGGTATTTATTTAGGCCCCTACATTGCTACATTAGGCCTTTCAAAGAACCTTTTTTCCTGTCAGAGACTCCCAAACTCGCTGTTAAGAAGTATATCGGAAATCATCTTAAGCTTCCTACTGTATATCAAGCTTTAGGGATGCTCCTTAATTTAACTAATCGCTACTCTAGAAAGGATTCTCCTAATTTAGATATCAAGCTTTAGGGATGCTCCTTAATTTAACTAATCGGTTAAAGAGTACCCCGGTCCTGTATGGGATCGATCCACCAGGCACCCAGTCCCAAACCTTTCACCCGCGCGTGGGCGCCGTGTGGATGGCCTGTGCTCAGAGGCTTCCAGGCTCCGTAAGTCAAAGGGGAAAAGGAGGGACCCTTGATGGGGACCCCTACCCTATAATGGGCTATATAATGGGTATATAATGGCTATATTAAGGGTATATACCTAGGGGTCCTTATTAAGGGTCCCTCCTTTTCCCCTTTGAGTAAGGTCCACAACAGCTGGTTTTGGTTTAGGAATTTCGTAAGTGTTCTACACAATAAATGTAAGGATATTTTTGGATTCCGGGAAGGGTTCCATAAAGGGGTATGATAAGAGTTTTAGGGTTTGGGTTTAGGGCTGGGAGGGTGTATGGCTTCTGGCCTGTAGCTTTTTTTTGACATTCGGGGTTCAGCGTCTATGGCCACAATGCGGCCTCATGACGCTCTGTCTGTCGTTTACGGTAAGCGTAAGCCTCATGGTAGCTACAGTACTGTATACATTCCCGTATTGGTTCATGAAAGCCACACAGACACAGGTTGAGACGGACAGAGAGAAGTGCCGGGTTTGGAAGCCTGGATCTTGTCATCTTTGGCCGAGGCTAAGGGTTGGGGTTGGCTGTTCGATGGATCTGCGGGCAGTGGATAATTGGCTGCCGGGCCCTCCACAAAAAGTAAGCACGGTCTTAGTATTTGTGAAAACTGCTATTCATGACAATCGAAATCGCGATAGTGATCGTAGTTGCATAGTACCAGCAAGAATGCAGGCAAGAGTATTAGTACTAGTAGTAGCAATAGTAGCAGTCATGGAATATGTAATAATCAGCAATCTGCAACAGGTAACGTAATAAGTACTGTAACAAGTAGTAATAAGTAACGACGACCAGCAATCAGTTTTCAGTAACCATTGACAGCAGCAGTGGCAGTAGCGGCAACAGCAATGACAGGGACACTGACAATGACAATGTTAATGGTAGTGACGGTATTATATAGTTGGAACCGTCATCATACTACCGCAATCGTAGTGCTTTTGCTAAGCTAAGGCGGGCTGGGAGGGGCATGGAGTGGGGGGGGTGGTGGGTGGCGAATGAATTTCGATTCAGAGAGTGTTCTGATGCTTTTTAAAGCAAAACACCATAGCGAAGGCTCTGTGGCAGCCGTCCAAATCGGGGGTGGAAGTGCAAAACGCCTGTTACGAAAAATACAGCAAGCACTTGGGGCTTTCTGCCAAGCGGCTGTTGTTGTTGCGGTTGAGGGGAGATGTCATCGGCATGCCGTGTTCTGCTGGGCTACTTTGCTATCACTCGGTGAAATGATGATGCACTTGCCGCAAACAGCACGATGCCAGCACCAGTCAGCAATACCAGTAAACAGAAGTGATGTGAGAACAGAGCAGATAGTGATGGCAGCCGCCATGGTTTCTGCTTGAACTACCATGAACGCTGGTCATGCCATCGGCATCATTGCTATTATCTCCCCCGTCATCATCATCCTCCGAGTGACTCTGTGTGTTTGTGTGTCTGTGCGTCTTTGCTCTACTACAAACGGAACTGTCCTGTAGATGTCCAGGCAAGCACACCCTACTTGGAGGGTCGGGGGACTTAGTAAGTAGGTAGTAAGTAGACTTATAAGTACCCTAAAAGGGACCCTGATTGGGGTTATGGTACTTATAAGTCCCTAAAATAACCAGTTACTAAGTCCCCCGACCCTCCAAGTAGGCATGACGTGAGCTCTGCTGGTGACGAGAAACTCGCAACTCTCGAACCCAAGCTTCAAAGCCCCAAAGCCTGAGCCCCCCCCCCCTCGACAAAAAGCAAAGTTATAAGTACCCTAAATGGAGTTACCCCAATGATAACCCTACTTATAACCTACTTACTAAGTCCCCTGCCCCTCCAAGCAAAGGCTGAGAGCCCCCCCCGACAAAAAGCAACAGGGTTCAGGGTTTAGAGTTCTAGAGCACATCTTAACAAGCGGCCCGCAATCGGATAGGCCTGCTCAGGGGTGAATCCAACCAACATACTTCAGGGGCCTTTTTAATTAGAGCTGTTTTTCGCTATCTTCTGCTATCACCAAAATAGTACTGGTAATTGAATCATTTCTGCCCCTACACTATTTCCAGGCCTTCAGCTCGTGCGCGATGTCGCAGACCGCGCTCGCTGGCGTACAGCAAGAATGGGCGCACCGTCTGGCGGATCCGCAGCTGGTAGATCTCCTGCGGAGGAGGTGGGTATTTCTCTGAGGTAGGGATTCTTTGAAGATACTATAGGGTTCTTC